GGGCAGCGAAGCTCAGCAGGCTCCCTGGCTGGCCAGGCACCTTCAGCCGGAGGGTTTGTAATTAGAGCTAAAGCACTCTGCCCTGTTGTCACCTTCTCGTGACGGTGCCATTCTGTGCTTAATTACCTGTGACTCTCACGCCCCCAGCCACTCACTCCTGGCTTCTTGGGTGTCTGTCCTCCCATCCCGCTGTCCCTCAGTGTTCCTAGCCTCATCATTCCCGGTCCCTGCACACTTCCGTCTGTCCTTCAAAAGGCCTCTGCTGTGGCCATTATCACTCATTTTTCCTAGGTAGTTCTTAGCAGCTGGCTCCGGCTTGTCTGTGTCTGCAGTGTGCCACATGCCCTCTGCAATGTGCCCAACTGTTGTCATAGCAGTGAGCACCCGAACCCATTGCTCAGCAGGAGGGAAGGTTAAACTAGCTCTGTTGGTCTGGAGGTCCTGGCCCCTGACTGCTGGCCCTACCGCTCTGAGCTCTTGGAGCACAGCAGATTGCAAGTGTGGTGGAGCAAACAGGACTCCTTACGGCAGTGGGTGAAAGGGATATGACAGCGACAGGCTTCCCTTGAGATCCTGCCTCCTGAGGGTTACCTCCCCAGCACCCCCTAGAGACCCCATCTTCACCCATACCTTCAGGGACCCTCCAGGCCCACCTCTGGCATTTGCCCCAGCGTGTGGGGTTGCACTTCCCCAGTGACCTCAGTGTACTGAGAACCGCAGCATGGACAGGCCTCGTAGCTGGGCCCTGCAGTTTGCAGGCCAAGGCAGCAGCTCCTCCCTGGGGTGTTCACACTGCACTGGCATTTCATGGCCCCAAGTCTGGGCCCAGTGATGTACAAGGGCGCAGCATGCAGACAGGAATGGTTGCAGGCACTCCTGAGCCCTGTCACTCCTTGAAGACCCACATGAATGGGAACAGCAGTCACTGGTTCTCAGTGCAGGGAGGATGTTGTTCATCTGTGCTGTGGATGAGGTGTGGATGTGCTTAGCGACCTGCATCCCCCGACCCATAACTTCAAGTGCCAGAATGCAGTCAGAACCAGCCCCATGCCTGTGGCCACTCTGTGGCCAGCTGCCGGTGTTCACTGGAGGCCACCTGGCAGGAGTGGGCTCTGACTCCTGAAATGCAATTCAGCAATTCAGCAACGTGCTGCCAGTTGCTGAACCACTAGCAGATGGCCACTTAACACCCCTGAGTCTTCCATTTAGGTATCTAATTACAATGCAAACTGTGCCTGAGAGGTGGTCCCAGGGCCAGTACACTGCCCCAGGCTTGGGGTGCCCCCAGTGCCTTAGCTTCGGAGCAGTCAATGAGAGCTCACACCACGCTCAGCAGAGGCTGGGAGAAAAGGTTGAGATGCTCCTGATAGGGGACGGACGCAGGACTGCTGTGTGGTCCAGAGCTCCGGGGTGTTCTGGGAAAGGGAGGAAGAGTGAAGTCACAGCTGAAAGGGGCAAACAGTGGTATAGAACTTCAGTGTGTGATTACAACTAGAATGTGCTGGGGGTGAGAAGCAGTTTCTGGCACCCAGACAGAAAAACAAAGAAACAGCGCCAAGCGGAAGAAAGCCTGGCTGGTAGGGCCCTTCCTGCAGTTCAGAAGCATCGTCCCCTGGGCAGAGGCCCACATGGCCTGGTAGCCACCCAGCTCAGCCTGGTTCAGAGGCCGTGTCAGGCCCATTTTTGCAGCATGGGATAGGGCCTGTAGTCAAAGACGGAGTTGAGGTTTACGCTTGCAGAGCAGGGGCTGAGGTCAGAGGGTGGCAGGACTTGGTGCCTAGGAGAACCTGACCCTGGTTGGAGGAGGAGCAAAGAGGACAGATACAGCCAGGCCTGACCGATGGAGCACCACAGGGCTCCCTACTGTTATGGCATCCTCAGGCATGGGACAGTTAAATAGATATTATGTCGCATAGGACAGAGGTCTCAATCCAGGAAGAGCACATGAAGTGAACATGAAGGAGCCAGCAAGATCTACAAATAAAGAGCTCACAGGATAGGAAAGATGTTCCGCCCACATGCAGGAAGATGGCTGGACTTCCCCGGGCGCAGGACGCCTGGCTTGGTCCCCTGGAGATGCTGGCAGGAGATGAGATGGCAAAGGGCTGCAAGCACTCCACACTGCCATCAACGTGCATGGGGACAGCTTCTCTTATTGGGAAGTCAAAAGAGCCAATTGCTTTTCCTGCGGGTTTTCAGGACCTACGTAAGCACGTTTGGCATGGAGCCAGCCTACCCTCCATCCAGCTGAGCCCCTGATGATTGACAACTTGCAAGTATCAGCTGCTACATGGAACACAAGGAAGGCCAAAGCAGAGCATTATCTGTCCTCAGAGTTCCAAAGCGCAGTGCTGTGCTGCTGCTTTGAGCTGAGCCCAGCTCTACAGTCTCCCTGAACTTCATGAAGGTGCAATTCCTTCATGAAACCCCCAATTTGGGACCCAAGTCCTGTGCAGAAGGCCACATGGCTGCCTCCCAATGGGGTGGAAGCTGGTGCTCAGAGGACGCTGGTCCTTCTGCTGTTTAACCCATGGTAGCATCATGAGCAGCTCTCCCCTCTAGCCCATGGGATCTTGAATGGGGGTCAGGGCAGAGACTCAGCTGTCACAAGTGTAAGTGATCCCTGCTGGTGAGGCATGAAGAAAAGTACATTCAGGATCATGGAGAACATCCAAATGGGGTCTGTTCGCCTCCAGCAAATCCTGGTCTTGGCTCTGGGTATCAGGGACATCACCAAGGTCACACAACTTCTGTCAAGAGGAAAGAAGCCACCCTACTCTGGGACATGTGGGAGCTGCAGAAAGGGTACTAGCTCGGGACAGGGCATCGGGCTTTCTAAGCACAGCTGTGGACACTGAGCCAGGTCGAGGTTTGGGAAGAACGGGAGCATAGCACCATCTGGCCATCTCTGGGCCTGAGAAGGAATCAGGGGCATGTGCTTCAGCCTCCTCCAGCCATGCTGTTCTGGGTTCAGGGTCCACAGCAAAAGCCTCAGCCTCAGAGTTCTGAATGCAGATTCCTGGGCTGGGTGCTGCATGGGCCTGTGAGTTCTTGGCTACCTGTCTACGGAGTGGCCCTGGGCCCCGGGCAGGACCTCCCCTCCTACAAGGTGGACCTCTCCCCACCAGCCAGAGACAGGACCCTAAGGATTCCAAGGAACCAGCCCTCCATGTTTCCTGCAGCCTCCCTCATTCCAGGTAGTCACCATCTGTGACACGTTTTTCTGGGAGGAGAAAATGAGCCTCCATTGCTGCAGGAAGGGCAAGCAGCATGGGGCACTGCTGGAGGCTGAGAGGGCCCTGCTGCTTCTGCTGCTGGAGTTTCCAGATCTGGAGTGGGGACCACAGGCCAGTGACTGAGGGTGTGTCAGTGTGAGCCTCGTCCTGGTGACAGGGTCAAAGGCTATGGTGGTGCAGACACGGACAGCCCTGTGCCACACTTCTCACCCAGGCTCCGGGAGGGCAGCCCTGGCATAGACGTGGGACCACATGGTGCCTGCTGCCACCAGGATGCCTCCCCCAGGCATGGGGTCACCCAGTCCTGGCAGTCACCCCTAAGTACACATGGAGAAGCAGGCTTGGGAGCCCAGTCCAGGCTTCCCAATAAGGACAGATAGGCACTGATGATGTGGGGAAAATGTAACTCCTGGCCTGTTGGATGTTGGATTTGCCAAGTTTATGTTTCCTCAAATCATAGCATAGATTCTAAGGAACAGTGAAGGTTAGGAAAAACTGGTTGAGAGAGAGAAAGAAAGAGGGAGGGAGATGCAGGAAGGAACCTGAAAGTGGGCTGCTGCAGACCCTGCTCTCCAGAGGAAGTTTTTTTAGACCAAAATCACATGGTGGGTACAATGTGGGACAAAACTATGATCAACCAATAAGATTCCCAGTACAGCCGCTCAGGTGATCTTGGTCAGAGGGGAAGCATGTCACGCAGCAAGTGTGCGTGGAGAGAGCAAGGACCGTTTTATAAAGGAAGGGATGGATCGGGAGGTCCTGTCACTCACTGGGTGACAGATGTCTCTCTGGACTTTGTGGACCAGGTGAGCACAGTCTTTAATTTATAGCGTATCCCTTGGGGAAGTGTGTGGACCTGGTCACTCCAGCTGTACTTGGATGGCCTCCGGCCACAGTCCTGCTGTGTCCTCAGCCTCTGCACGGACTCCTTTCCTCCTGTCTGACTTCTAGAATGTTTCTACCTAACCCAGCAGTCTGTAATACTGGGACTCAGCCCACGAGCCTGCTGTGTCCCACCTTAGCCTCTCTCTGCCCAGATAGGGTTGCTCTGCTCCTCTGACTGCTCTGGGCCCAGCCGGGGTCTTGGGGTCTTGTAACAAGACCTTCTTCCTCTGAGGCTCAAAGAAGTCATGTCAATAATGAGACTACAATGCTGGGAGACACTTGGCCACATATTGAGTAAGCTGGGGAGTCACCCTCAAGTGTCACCACCCCAGCTGTTTTAAAGTCTAGCTTAAGACTAAAATCCTGGTCGCTTGTTTCCCATGTCCAGATGGAACAGAGGGATGTGGCCTACTATTAGCTGGCAGCCCCTGCAAACTTTAATGTGAGGACTGAGTGGTGCCTGGGAGACCCAGAGATCCTTCCTCAGGGCCTGCTCTTGGGAACTGTGACTCGGGGGGTGGGGGTTGCACCCCTAGAAGAGGGGACAAGCCCCAGGTGGAGAGGAGGGTAGCTGGTGGGTATGGGAAGCCTTGGGGGCTGGCCCCCTTGGGGCTGTGGTGCTGCCCCTCCCTCAGCCCAGGATCCCTCCCTCTGCACAGGAGGGAGACTCTGGCCTGAGGAGCCCTATCTTTGGGTGCCATCTTTGGATGGGCACCATCACCCCCATGCCCTTTGGGGTACCTGGGCAGGGAGCAGAGAGGGGCCTGCTCCTATGGGAGTGGCCCTGGGAAGGACCTGGGTCCCACCCAACCCTGGCTCCTCCCTGTGGGTCCCCGCTCCTCTCTCCACACCCTGACCTCATTCCCTGCCTGCCCACAGTGTTCCACCTGTCCCACAAAGTCACCAGTGTGGTGCCTGAGAGTGCGCTGCTCATCGTACTGGGCCTGGTGCTGGGGGGCATCGTCTGGGCAGCTGACCACATCGCCTCCTTCACGCTGACACCCACACTCTTCTTCTTCTACCTGCTGCCCCCCATTGTGCTGGACGCTGGCTACTTCATGCCCAACCGGCTCTTCTTCGGGAACCTGGGCACCATCCTGCTCTATGCGGTCATTGGCACCGTGTGGAATGCGGCCACCACTGGCCTGTCACTTTATGGTGTCTTCTGCAGCGGCCTGATGGGTGAGTCCCCTTGGGGGAGGCTGGTGTGCTGCACAGCTGCAGAGGCCGAGGCAGCGTGCACAAGACCCAGCACCGCCTGGATCCCCCATTGTGCCTCGAGGTTTGGTCAGTGTTGGAAGCAGCCTTGAGTCGGAGGAGACCACACACAGAGAAATGTGGTCCATCCAGGCATGTCCACCCCTCAGACTCTGTTCTTTCACAAGGTGCTCCCGCTGTCCAGCATCTCTCAGACAGAGACCACCAAGGCATGTGGCTAGTGAGCACATGACGGGTGAGGTCCTTCACTGCCAGCAGTAGTGTATGTAGTCAGGATACCCATGATGGTGGCTGCATCAGGGGCTCCTGGACTGAGCCCCACAGTACCACGAGAGTCACACTTGCTCTCACCAGACAGCCAACACGACGGGTGCTGGCTGTGGCATCCTAGGTTGTGCTGCAAGCCAAGGAGAAGTCTGAGTGGCTGGTCATTGTGTCCCTTTGCCAGCCTCTCTTGGGTGAGCACTTTTGTGGAGCTCCTCGCCCTGTCTGGCAGACCCCAAGCCTGGCTTTCTTGAAGCCAATGTCTGTATGATAAAAGGCACAGGTGCAAGCAGCTGCAAACATGTCCATCCTGTAAGCTCCATGGCCTGTCTTGCCACAGTGTCCTGTAGGACAAGTGTCACTATCATGCTGGTTACACAGGAAGCAGGGCCACTTCCCATGGTGGACACAAACAGATATGGGTGGTCCACTCAGCCCTGAGGACACAGCTGGTCAAGGCTAGGCATTGGCTGTCTCGTTTGGGAACTGATGGAGGTGGGTGGGCAATGAGTAGTCTCTTCAGACAGTGCTCAAGGTCTGGTGTACGTGCCGTACCTGCCACGCCCCCTCCCCCCAGGGAAGGTCAGCTTGGGCAGAATAGAGGCCCTTACTGTCTCCAAGCCTGTGGTAGTGAAGGGAGCACACAGCCTCGCCTGCTTTCCACTGGGCCAGGTGCTCTTGGTAGGGCCAAGAGGGTGAATTGTTCATCCACATAGGGCTGACTGTGCTTTGATGGGGAGCAGCTGATTTTTGGGATGTACTTCAGGGTCCAGCGGGGACCAGTAGGGTCCTAGAGCAATAGGCTACCTGTGCCATGGGCATCTCACCTGGCCTTGAATCTGTTTGTGTCTGGAAGGACTGCAGGTCTGTGTGGCAACAGGCAACTGCAGGACACTGTGACACTAGCTGCTGACTTTTGGGCTTTGGCTTCACGGAAATCTTGGACTCCCTTGCCCCTTCCTTGGGTACCCTCTTGGTGGAGCCGTAACCTCCAAGCTAGCCTTGCACCTTGGCCCCAAGGGGAGGTGGTTCTGATCCAGCCCAGGAGAGACAGTGAAGCCCTGTGAGAACCCAGGTGCCTTGGCATCCTGGGCACGTCTGGCCATGGGCTTCTTCTGGTTGGCCCTGAGGGTTCCCAGCCCCATCACTAGCCATAGCCAGAGGTACCACAGGTGTCCCCCCACTTCTCCCTGGGGCTGTGAGGTTGGAGGATGGTGGCAGAGATCTGCCCTGGCTGCCTGGCTTTTGTCCTGGGCAGGGACCACCGTTACATTCTAACCGACAGCCAGTTTGTCCTGCAGGTGACCTGAAGACTGGACTCCTGGACTTCCTGCTGTTTGGCAGCCTCATTGCTGCTGTGGACCCAGTGGCTGTCCTGGCTGTGTTTGAGGAAGTCCACGTCAATGAGGTCCTGTTTATCATCGTCTTTGGGGAGTCACTGCTGAATGACGCCGTGACTGTGGTGAGCAGTAGGCAGGCTCTCAAGGCCCAGAGTGTTTCCGTTAAGGTTATGGGGGGCCAGGGACCTGGGGCCTGGTGAGTGTCACTCACATCGCTGGGATCAGTAAGCAAGACTGAGGGATCTGCCATGCGCAGGCAGCCCCTTGTCTGCCTGTGCATCGGCCCATGGTGCTGGCTCTGGGCAAGTGCTTGGCTGTCCTTGCCAGCAGCACTCAATGTGTTGTGCATGGGTGGCCTGCTCTCCCTCCTAACTCAGAGCTCTGTTGCATCAATCCTCCCCTTTCCTTTCCTGTCTCACTACTGTGGACCTGTCCAGCCAAGCTTGTGTATGGCTGCTGTCCCACAGTCACCATCCCCACAGCAAGGGATGTCAGTAGTGGTTCACATTTGGTGCTACCCTTCCTGACTTCCTGAAAGTAGATGAATAAACAACAAAATCTCATAGGGAGTATATCGTCTGCTTGGGCTGCCAGGGCTTAGAGCAGAGGTCCATTTCCCACTGTTCTGGAGGCCGAAGCCTGAGGTCAGGGTGCAGGGGCTAGCTCCTCCACACCTCTGCTGGGTACATGGAGGCCGTCTCCTCCCTGTGTCTTCGCAGGATGTCCCTCCATACATGTCTGTGCCCTCACTCCCTCTTCTCAGGAGCACCAGCCTGGTTGGGTTAGGCCTACCCAGGTGACCCTTTCTTACCTCAGTCATCTCTGCAAAGGGTTCCATTGTCACACACAGGGACATTTTGAGATCCTGGGATCAGGACTCAACAAGAGATATTAGTGTGGTGCATTCAACTCCTCAAATGAGTCACAGAAGCCAAGGCTGCCATTTCTGTTGGCTGTTCCCCAGGTTGGCTCCTCAGGTAGTGGGTAGGACATGCTCTGCACCACAAGCTGCAGGTGGGGGGCAGCTGCTGCCTTTCACATTGGGGGGGGTGTCTTACACTTGTCTCCAGGTTGTCCTCATGGGAGGAGAGTGGGTAACTCTGTGTGTGGGAGGACTTTGCAAACAGTGGACATGGATCCTGAGGGCATGTAATTGCTCTCAGTGACCAGGCCCCTGAAAGCTCATTTCCTGCATTCCTCAGGTCAGGACAGGACAGTACAGGGCCCTCAGTGCATTCACCAGAGCTTACATGGCTCTTGGGGCAGTTGGGAACTTGCTGAGATCTCAGGGATTCATCCAGCAGCTCCTGAGTCCCCCTGGCCATTTCCAGACTCCTCGCACTCACCCATCCCTGCTCACCTTCTACTCTCTTCCTACTGACAGCCTTCCCTCTAGGGTCTGCACTGCTGCAGCTCCACACAGGGCCCAGGTCCATGAGGCTGGGTCAGCTGTGAGCAAGTTGACCAGATGTGTGTTTTCTGTCCCTCAGGTCCTGTACAATGTGTTTGAGTCTTTTGTGATGATAGGTGGTGACAAGGTGACAGGTGTGGACTGCGTGAAGGGCATAGGTATGTAGCTGGAAGGCCCTGCCTTCCTTCCCACCCTTAGGCCTGTTCTCTGCTTCTCTTTCTCCCACAGCCCCAACAGAAAAAATGCTTTTCTGCCACACCACTGTGTTGGCTAGCTTTCTGTTGTTAAGGAAAAACACAACTTATGTGGCTCATGGTTTCAGAGTGTTCAGTCCATGATGGGCTGGCTGCAAGGAAGAACAGCAAGGTGGAAGGGCCTACCAGAGGACAACTGCTTACATCAAGGCAGTGAGGAAGCAGACAGGGAGGGAGGAAGTGGTGGGGAAGGAAAGAACATGAGACAGAGAGGGGAGGGAGAGCTGGGAACAAGAGCACCCACAGGTCACACTGAAGGACCACCTCCTCCAGCCACGTTCCCCTCTTAAAAGCTCTTCAGCTGTGAATCCATTGATGGGTTAATCGTAGGTGAGATTTGCACCCTGTGACCCAATTGCCTTCTAAGACCTCACCTGCAAACACATAGGACTTGGGGCAATATTTAGATCAAACCATTACAGTTGTAAAACTGAGCCTGTGCACACCCTCTTCTTAAGGCATCTCAAGCACATTGTGGGTCCTGGAGGTTCTGGGTGGCCCCCTGTGTAGGGACAACAGTCATCCTGGAGCTCCCAGAAAGGGACAGGTAGACAGTGTCAGATGACACAGAGCCTGGTCCTTGCTGCCAGCCCAGGCCACAGGGCTGCACCTGGGTGATATTCCCTCATGGAGTCTAGAGCTCCCAGGGGCAAGGTGCCACCCTCTGCCCCTTTCTGCCCTGGTTGGTTCCAAGATGGGACTCTCCCCCAGAGAACAGGGACTGGTCAGTTCCTGAGCTCTTGAACCTCCATGGGCAGTTGCCAGTCAACTCCCACAAGGAAAGTGGGGGAAGGGCAGCCCAAGCAGCAAGATCTCGCCCACATCCGGCACAAAGGGCCATTCAGGAGCCTGAGCTGCACCCGTCCTTCACAGTGTCCTTCTTCGTGGTGAGCCTGGGGGGCACGCTGGTGGGGGTGGTCTTCGCCTTCCTGCTGTCCCTGGTGACCCGATTCACCAAGCATGTGCGTATCATTGAGCCCGGCTTCGTCTTCGTCATCTCCTACCTGTCCTACCTCACATCTGAGATGCTGTCCCTGTCAGCCATCCTGGCGTAAGTTCTTTGGCTGTGCGTAAACCCTGGAGCTAAATCCCTGCAGGCAGCTGGGCAGAGGACAGAGATTCCGGGGCACCCCCTAGAAAGCCAGTGTGGGCAAGTTCATGCCCAACCATTCACACCCAGCCACCATGGCGGGGGACTTGGGGTATACCCACAACTGCCCTCCTTGGCTCAACATTTAGGGCACACATTCCAGCTGCCTGGCCCCCAAGCTGGGTGGAAAGTTACTGTGTGGGTTGAGGAATTTTATTTATTTAATTTTAAATGAGGACTGGGTGTTTCTGCTGAATTGTCTGTGGCTACGAACCTGCTGGGGGTGGTCGGGCCAGAGGATACCCATGTGGTCTTCTGGGTTCAGGCCATCCACTCAGGCAGGCACCCCTTTGCCCAGATAGGGCTCCCACAAGGCTGGCATGGCCTGGAAGACATCAGTGGCCTGTGGGGGTCACAGACAGAGGCAGAGGATACTGCCTGAGGCTCAGGAACAGGTTGCTGTCACTCTGGATGCCCAGGCCCAGGTAGAGGCAGAGGGCAGCAGAGAGCATGGAGCTCAGCACATCAGCCCAACAGAAGTCCAGTTGGTCCACATGGTACTGGGCTGACAGTGGGAGGATGCTGGTCCAGGATTCAGATTCAGACACTGCCTGTGACACCTGTAATACCACCAGGCTGAGGGATAGTCAGCGCTGTACCTTGGAAAGAGTCCAGTCCTTAGGGGCAGCCCACTGAGCGGCAGCCTCATGGCTTCCCACCTGCTCCCAGAATCACCTTTTGTGGCATCTGCTGCCAGAAGTATGTGAAGGCCAACATCTCAGAGCAGTCGGCCACCACGGTGCGTTACACCATGAAGATGCTGGCCAGCGGGGCAGAGACCATCATCTTCATGTTCCTGGGCATCTCTGCTGTGGACCCCCTCATCTGGACCTGGAACACAGCCTTCGTGCTGCTCACACTGGTCTTCATCTCTGTGTACCGGGCCATTGGTAAGGACTGGTTGGGAACTATAGGGCCAGGGCCAGGGCAGTGCCCAAACATCAATCCTGATGAGTGTCCAGGCTGGTTCTCAGCCTTGAGATGGAAATGCTGTCTGATGGTCAAGGGGACAGATTCAGGGCACAGGGGCCCTGCAGGGCATGTGGCTGCAGGTACCCATGTCACACCAGGGTGGGACCACAGCTGAGCCTCCTTCCCCACTACAGGCGTCGTCCTGCAGACCTGGATCCTGAACCGGTATCGCATGGTGCAGCTGGAGACTATTGACCAGGTGGTGATGTCCTATGGTGGCCTGCGAGGGGCTGTGGCCTACGCCCTGGTTGTGCTTCTGGATGAGACGAAGGTCAAAGAGAAGAACCTGTTTGTCAGCACCACATTGATTGTTGTCTTCTTCACAGTCATCTTCCAGGTACAGCTTGGCTGCCAGGCTCTGCAGTGGCCCCACTCCTGCCCCCAGTGCTTTGGGACCAGAGTTTCCAGGCTCTGACCCAAATTGGATTTTGTAATTTTAGTAACTATGAGCATTTTGTAGGTTTTCTCGTGACCCCACAGGGGACGCAGCCCAGTTGTCCTGAGTATTGATCCCAGGTGGTGGATGCGCAGGAGCCCAGTTAATACTACCTGGTGTCACACTGCTCTGCAGGCTGGACTGGGCCCATTGTGGCCTCACATGGGGAGGGGGGCTGTTCCAGGCCATGGGTCAGCAAGGCCTTCTGTCTCCCAGGGCCTGACCATCAAGCCTCTGGTGCAGTGGTTGAAGGTGAAGCGGAGCGAGGAGAGGGAGCCCAAGCTCAATGAGAAGCTGCACGGCAGGGTACAGTGGAGACACAGGAGGGTGGGAGGGAAGAACACCATGTGTCACCTGCGTGGGCCCTGCTTTCTGTGGGGCCAGGCTGTCCTGTGACCCTCTGGATGTTTCTTTTCTCTGACAGGCTTTTGACCACATCCTCTCAGCCATAGAGGACATCTCAGGACAGATCGGACATAATTATCTCAGAGATAAGTAAGTGGCCTGAGCCGTCTGGCCAAATCCTAGGCCAAAATAGGTACAGTTTGTGAGGCACACTGGTCTCAGCTGTTCTTCAGTTGGTGACCCTGGATCACAGGCCTGAGGGACATAAGAGCTAGACAGGGCCATGTAGATCATGTCACTGTGACCCAAGGATCTTATGACCAGCTTCTAGAGGATATTCAGTAGGGCCAGGACCACCAGGAGAGCTGTCTGGGTTATGGACTGGTCTTGCTACTCAGGGACACCTGGGCAGGGTTAGTACGACCCAGACTTGCAGGTGCACACAAGTGAAGAAGCTGATGCCTGCAGAGGCATTGGTACTGTGGACATATCAAGGAGACAGATCTTGTTCCTGAGCAGAAAGCAATGCCCTTTCACTGTGGCTGCTTAATTCCAAATTGCTAAATTATGTGGGAATTGAAAATCAGAAAAATAATTTCCCCCTTTTATGAACACAGAAAGGGTATGTTAACATCCATAGGCATTTAAAATTATCTGTCCATGAAATGGAATAATCTATTTGTATTTTATTATAAAATATATGACACTTAAAACAGTGTAGCTGCAATAAAGAATTAAGAGTCAAGCATAGAGGCCCTGCTGTACAAGATAAACATGCACATTCTGCCAGGGGCAGCAAAGTTAGAACAAGCATGCTGCCTCAGAGATAGAACTGAGGCATGTTTCCCTAGACTGCCAGGTGCCTCCTAGAAATTGTTCTGGGGTGAACACTGGACAGGGTGAACTTGCTGTGGGGTAAACCCTGGGGTGAATTTGCCTTCCCTGAGATCCCCAACCCCAGCCCTGTCCTTGTGCCAACCTCTGAGGCTTATATGCCCCTTGGACACTTCATGAAGTCACATGAGGTGATGGTTTCCTTTGTATTCTACTGATAGCACCATCTAAAAGGAGCAGAGTGGTGTGATGGCACTGGTGGCATGGCTGATGTCACCCACAGGATGTCTTGGGCCAGGAAACCCAGGACCAATGGTTGTAGCTCCATAAACTTTTGTCCATTCATCCCTATGTCTAGGTCTCCGTGGGGCAGGAGTCCCAAGCCATGAGTGCTGACAATGTGACTGTTTGTCCCCAGGTGGTCCAATTTTGACAGGAAGGTCCTCAGCAAAGTCCTCATGCGAAGGTCAGCCCAAAAGTCTCGAGATCGGATTCTGAATGTTTTCCATGAGCTGAACTTGAAGGATGCCATTAGCTACGTAACTGAGGTGCGGGAATATTCCATCTGACCCTCTCCCAGAATTAGGGAACTGGCACTGCTGTGGCCCTCAGGGTCTGATGGCACAAGCACTGCACCTGGCCATTCCAGCTTGTCCTCAAGGCTCAGGATGTGTGGGATGGGACACAAGTATGAATGGAGGTCACCGAAGGTCCCAGCTCATCTCCATCCCCCAACACAGAGGACAGAAACCAGGCCACCACCTCCTATGGCATTCATGTGACCATTCTGTGGCCAGTGCATTCATGACCCATTGCTGGCACATGTCCATGTCCTCTAGGCCCTGCAGCTCTGATGCCAAGCTCAGGTCTGGGTCCAGGCTGCTCAGGTGCCGAGCAGTCTGCAACTGCAGGTGCCTGCCAGGCTTCCCCTGGGGCAGAACTCACACAGAGGCAAACCCAGCCTTCCAAGCCCCAGGAACCTGGATGGGGACAGGAAAGGGCCTTGGTGTTCTCTGCTTACTGCTTCCCATCTCCAGGGTGTTCCTCACCTCCATGCAGGTGACTGTCACCAGTCAAGGGCCCTGAGCCTCACCTGTGCCCAATCTGACCCTGACTCATGGCCATGGCCTTGGGCTCTGCTCCTTCCACCCAAGTCCTGGGGTGGGGAAGTGACCCAACCAATATACTGTGTTCTGACCCAAGTCCTTTCTGGGTCGATGGCTTGGGGGTTGGAGGCATGCTGGGGATGGGACCATTGTCCTAATCTCCAGGTGTGGACCATGTTTCCCTAGACTCCCAGGTGCCTCCTGGAAGTTGTTCTGGGGTGGACACTGAAAGAGTGAACTTGCTGTGGGGTACACACTGGACAGGGTAAATTTGCCTTCCCTGGGCTCTATCACTGTCTCTTGGAGCCCATGGGTCCTCAAGCATGGGGACCAGGCCTGGCCTTCCTGCAGGAGGTACTGCCCACCCATCCTCCTTGCTGGCCAACCAGACACTTCTTGCAGGGAGAGCGGCGTGGATCCCTGGCCTTCATTCGATCCCCAAGCACCGACAACATGGTTAACGTGGACTTCAGCACACCGCGCCCGTCTACTGTAGAGGCCTCGGTATCCTACCTCCTGTACGTATCCTCAAAGCCATGCCTTGCCCATGCTCTTTTTTTCTTGTGCTCCTGATCACTTCCTCCTGCAGGCCCTAAATGGGCTTTTTGGCCTGGACCCAGGGTGGGCTCCAGAAAGAGGGGCAAATGTTGGCATCACATAGGTGAACCTTTTGGGACAGACAGCAGGGTCATGTTCTCGTGGAGCAAATGCAGGGAGGGTTGGGGTGGGGCCTGTAGATGCAAGGGCCTAAGGCTTGAGTGTGTGCTCAGATGTGAAGTCCTGGACCAGGACAGGTATGGGATTTGCATAGGCCTGGCAGCTGATAGCCAGCTCTGGCCAGTCTGAGGATTGGGAGAGCAGTGGGCAGGGGCTGCTAGGACCAGGGGGGAGCTTTGGAGGGAGACTGTGTGGCACCTTAAACAGAAGGTAGGGAGGTTCTACTGGGGCCAGTCAGATACAGCTCCATGCAGAAGAGCAGCTGGCCAGGGCTGCAGAAGCCCAGGGCTCCAGACCTAGCCAGGGGGTGAAGGGCAGCAGCAACCTCCAGGTCAGGTCCTGGCTCAGCATCTGTCTGTGCAGAAGGGAGAATGTGAGTGCTGTGTGCCTGGACATGCAGTCCCTGGAGCAGCGGCGAAGGAGTATCCGTGACACAGAGGACATGGTCACCCACCACACCCTGCAGCAGTACCTGTACAAGCCAAGGCAGGAGGTAGGCTCAGGGTTTCACAGTCCCTCTTTTCTGCTGGTGTCCTCCCCTCCCTGGGATGCAGGGTCTGGGCCACTCCTCCTGACTACTAGCCTGACCACCACCCATTTTCAGTATAAGCACCTCTACAGCCGGCACAAGCTGACACCTAGTGAGGCTGACAAACAGGACAAGGAAATCTTCCACAGGACCATGCGCAAGCGCCTGGAATCTTTCAAATCAGCCAAGCTGGGCATCAACCAGAACAAGAAGGCAGCCAAGTTATACAAGAGAGAGCGTGCACAGAAGCGGGTGAGGGAGATGTGTGGGCAGAATAAGGGAAGCTGAGTTAGGCAGGGCTCCAGACACAAGATAGGGGAAGGGGGTTGGGTGTGGGCTGGGCTTGAACATGGGATGTATCTGTAAGGGCTCATACTTGTTCACAGAGGAACAGCAGTATCCCCAACGGGAAGCTGCTCATGGAGAGCCCGGCCCATAACTTCACCATCAAGGAGAAAGGTAGGGTGTGGTACGTGGGTCACAGGAACAAACTCTCTTCCTACCCCCCCTGGTCCAGCCACAAAGTGGTACCCCTCCCTGTTGGGCCAAGGAAACAGGGGTGTGTGTTGGGGGGGGGTGGTTCTGCCTCTGTCCAGCCATCCCAGTCCCTGGCTACTGGCTGCCTCACAGCTGCTGGGTCATGGTAACCATAGTGACAAAGCTTGGGGTGCATACTAGCTGCCAAAGATCCAGGTCACTCTGGTTCCAGTCTGGTCTTGTTCCTTGCCTCAAAGATTTGGAACTTTCGGACACTGAGGAGGTCCCAGATTATGAAGCTGAGGAGACCAGTGGGGGCATTGAGTTTCTGGCCAATGTCACAAAGGACACAGCCTCAGACTCCCCGGCAGGTAAGGGACATGGGATGGGGGCACCCTTGGTGCCAAGAGAGCCCCAGTTGTAGTGTTGTTTCCTCCACCCTGGCAACCTTCTCCAGGGAAGGTGGCACAGCAGGCCAGGACCTTGTGTCCAAGGATAAGGAGGGAATGAGGGCAAGGGCTGCAGGCCAAAAGGCACAGGATGGACCATGCAAGTGAACTTTGATACTCACAGGAGCTGTGGTCAGCCTGGACACTGTGTTCTGCCCTGCTGGAGTTCCTGCTGGGCTAATTAGCACTGCCCTCTCTCCTAGGAATTGACAACCCCGTGTTCTTCCCGGATGAGGACCTGTACCCCAGCATCATTGCCAGGGTTCCACCCTGGTTGTGCCCTGGGGAGACTGTGGTGCCCTCCCAGAGGGCCCGCGTGCAGATCCCCCAGTCTCCCAGCAACTTCCGCCGCCTGGCACCCTTCCGTCTCAGCAACAAGTCAGTGGACTCCATCCTGCTGGTGGACAGCCCTGAGGAGCGGCTCCACACACTCCCAGAATCCACACACATGTAACTGGTGCCCCTCTAATGCCTGTTTTCTCTGATGCTTCCTCAGGGCTTTTCTGGATCTGCACTCTCCAGCTCTGCCAGCAGCTCTTCCACCCCTAGATCCCCAGCTTCCATCGGCTGCAGCTTTCTCAAGGGATGCTGAGGACCCAGTGTGCCTGTGCTTTTCCTGTTATAACACAGGGATCCAGTGGGCTTGAGGGCATTTGCAGGTTATCCTACCATTTTCAGACTATCAGCTGGATTTGTGTGGTTAGCCTGAATCTCACTCCAGCCCAGAAGCATGCAGCAGGAAAGGCAATGTGCCAGAAAGGGCCCTGGAGGTTATCCAGGTGCAGGAGCACTCCCAGGACACAAACAGTGGGGCTCTTCTACCTCTTACATACAGCATGCAGGAAGGAATGAGGGCTCTGCCTAGCAGCTGGCTGCCCAGGACCCTTGCTAGGGATCCTGCAGGGCAGGGCCCAGTGGGGCTTGAGGGGCCTGAAGACCCTCTGGCAGTCTTGGTCATTCCAGGTTTTCCTTTGGGTGCTCTGTGCAGATAGGAATTAGTGTTGTAGATTGGTTGGTGTGAGGTTCCAAGCCCATTTCAAATGCGTGAAAGAGTTTTTTGGACTAGAAGACGCTGGCAGTAGGCCATGGGCCTGGACCATCACTGTGGCACACCGTGAGCCAGGGCACTGGGACTTGAGGACTGTGTGTCCCCAAGTGGGGCGCCCACTGCTGTCCTTTCGACTGTCCCTGCTCTTCTGGTTCTCGCTTGCCTCTCTCCAGTGTCTTCTTCGGTTCACAAAGCAGCTGCTGCGTTTGCAGCATGTCCCAGGGCACTGCAGGGAGCCCCTTGACCTTGGAGCCTCGCCCTCATGCTGTGTTATTCTCACAGGTGACACCGGCTCCGACACGCCACTGACCGGAAGTTTGTCCCCGCACCGAGATCCGCCTGCTGCCCCGCAGCCCCCGCGCCCCGCGCCATTTCCGCCCGTGAGCCCTGTGCAGTCCATTCGCACTCCGGGACCCGGGGCGCATGCGCGGTCAGCGGCGGCCAGGCGCGTGCACAGCCGGCGCTCGTTCCAGCGGCCGCGGGCTCGCCGCCGCCCCGAACTGCGCAAGCTTGCCTCGCTGCAGCCCCCGGGACCAGTCGAGTTGCCACCGCTGGCGCTGGAACAGGAGGAGACGCCTCTCTGACCTGGACGACAGGCCCGATGGAGCCCCGCACCGACTCGGAGTCCAGACAGCCAGGCCGGGGTCATCCTTCCGTTGCTGATAGGGTACCAGGTCTCCAGTTTATCCGGAGACATCTGTCCTTGCACATCTTTGGATTGTGAGCGGTGGCCTACTAGGCGGGAACAAGGGTGTTGACATATCACATCCGTTGCCGGTTCTGTGATGCCGGTTACCCTCTGGCCGGTGGCATTTGTTAACGATGGTATCTCAGCTCTGGCAGCCCAGTCCTTTCCCAGCTGACAGCGGCTGACCACACGTCTGGGTCTCAGGATTATACTTGTCCCCACAGACAAGGTGTCAGCCAAACTGTGCCTCATGGCACTAAGTGGCAGAAGACCAGGTTGGGCAGGGCTTGGAGCTGTCTCCAGGTAGCCTATTGGAGCCACCGTGGGCTCTCCTGGGGCCCCATAATCCTGGCAAGTAAGGCCCAGGGTGGGGAGGGAACTGGGGCTTGACTCACCAAGAACATGGCAGAGTGCCCTGTGCTGGACTTCCTCCTGCTGCCCCCAGGGCCTAGGAATGTGGCCTTGGACAGCCCTGGCCCCTAGAGTAGTGAAAGGTGGGCAGCCTCCAGTCCTCTGAGCACAGGCTGAAGCTGGCCAAGGCAGAGTCCCGCTGCACCCAGGTCACTGAGGAAAACCCAAAGGAGCTGCAAGGACGCAAGGGCCCTCTAGGCTTTCTAGAAACAAACCACTCATAGTTCTCTGCTCAGGAAAACTAAACTTGTCTCAGGGTCCAGACTGACAGTACACATTCTCAGGGTTCAGAGGGGATTGGCAGCACTTGGTGTTAATGCTGCACTGTGAGTTCCAGATAGAAAAAGCATACAATTTCCCTTTTACAACTGCACTGTTGAATCAGTAAAAAAGTTTGTTTAGCACAAAAGCCTCTAAGCAGCTCCTCTGACTTCAACCTGTCTGCTGTCACTGAGTCACAGCTCAGTCCTCTTAAAGTGCAGGACGGTTTCCAGGAGCTGCTCTGCTTAAAGCTGAGACCAGCCAGCTGGTGCAATGTGGGAGCCTTACCTGGGATGCTCTGAGAGGTGGCCAGCCCGCTCACAGCTGGAGCTGCCTTAACCTTCCTAGGCCACTAGATGCAGGATTCGATTCCCACTGCAGAGTCAGAAAGGCCAAGTGGCAAATCTGAAACAGACGCTCCTTGACGCCCCACGCTGGTGTCTTTGAGGAGGCACTCTTGTCTGGGCAAGTATGAACTGCACAGCTGGACACAGCTGCGGTGGAGCCAGATTTCAGACAAGGAAGCACTGGTCCTGGGAAACCACCTCTCACCCCTGGAGTGCTCTGTGACTAGAGGAAAACCCTACTATTGCTGTCACTAGTGAAACAAAAATGTAAACAGTCCATGAATGTATTTCCTTATGGAAGCTGTTGTAAAAATTTTTATTAGGAGAATGTCTATTTATTTAATACTAAACTTTGGCCTACTTTGTGGTACTGTAATATACACAAATTTAGAAAACTGCTATTTCTCACTTCTGTATTTTTCTTGAAAATAATTTTATTATGGTGTTCAATGTACTGTATATCAACTGTCTGTTATGAAAGGAAATTGAAAGAATTTTGTCCAAACCAGAATTAAGGTGGATTTTATGAATGAATTGTCACTGGCCAAAGCCTTGATTCTAAATCACAGGGCGATGTGCCTTATGATGTTCCTGCAGATACACGGTGGCATCATCTGCACAGGGAGCACATCACGATAATCTCTAAGACTGACTACTTGACGGATTCTATTAAAATATCTCAAGGCATTCCGTGTGAACCTCTTGAATGAAAAACCCAGGATTTCAGGTGGTCTTCTGTAGGCAGGCATTGCTGTGCACTGAAGTTAACACTGACACAGATGTGTATGTTTCATGCTGCCGGTGGGGTGGCCCTGGCCATGGTGAGGAAACCACTGGGCACAGCTCTGAAGTGATTCACAGCCATCTCAAACCAGTGAACCAGAATGTGACCACTTCAGTAGGAGACTCACAAGGTCATAGCCACGGTTTTGGAGGCCCAGGGATAGGGGTGGTCCTCTGGTCTCTGCCAGCTCCAGTGGCTACTGGCATCTCTGGCACATAGATGCTTCCTTCTAACCCTATCTCCACCACATGCATCCCTCCCACTGTGTCCCCATGATGCCTGCCCATTCCTATGTGACATCATCTCAGTCACACCTGCACTAATTACATTTCTGTACAAAGCCACATTTGAGGTCCAGAGGTTAATACCTCAGCCCTCTCTTCAGGGTTGGGAGTGCAAATGGTCTGACCCAGTAAAAAGTGCGAGCAGAGAGCTGTTTCTCCACCTCCCTCTGCATCTGGCTGCAGGTCCATGTGGGGCAGCCATGAGTGGGCTCACCCACCACTGTGTCAGCAGACAGGAAGGACAGAGGGCAGAGACCCTGGGGGGCCTTCTCCACACTCTCTAGAATTCTCTGGATGGGACTGAGACCAAGGAAGTCTCTTGGCTTGACCCACATTGTTCTGCTGGCCTGGAGAGGATGAAAGGGTCCAATGCATCTGGCTGGCTTCAGCAACAACTGCTCTCTACTCGGCTTCTCTGTCTGGTGGTAACCCCCTGCTGCACTATGCAGTAAGCAGATGCCAACCTTCTTCACAGGGCAAGCCTGCCCAGGCCTGTGTGCAGTCTTCCCCTCCTGAGCAGCTTGGAGATGGCCTTCCCCTGGTGTCAGGATGGACACTGCCCATGTACCAGAAATAGACAGTGCCCTTGCTGTGGCTGCTATAACATCTGGCCTCCAAGGGCACAGAGAAGAATGTGTTTCTGTCGGGCCAAAGAGCCAGTGCTCAATCATCATGGGCCTGCAGTAACCATGGCCTACATCTGAGCACACAAGCAAAGTACTGTACAGTAACTAATGATGGCCAGCATGGTGGGTTCCAGTTCCATTAAGTCACACCCACTTCAGGCCAGACAGAACAAACCACAAGCATCAGCTGGATGTCACCAGGGTGGCTCTGTCTTTTCTGAACCCCCTAGATTACTCCAATTTTCACTTCATTACATTCTGAAACAAAGCCCTATTTGTGAATTTTCCTTAGCTTGTGAGGATGAAACAAAAGTAGGACATCTGCTGTTTCGAAGATGGACAGAAAACACAGCATTCCATGCCTGCTCGTATTCCATATGGTACACAGCTCAAACTGTCAGTGCAGGACGTCCCCCAGGATGTGTCCTGTCATGTTCACATCTCACTAACTTGAGAGTCCTGAGGATGAAGGATTACCCTCTGCAGACACAGGGAACCAGAGCACAGGGATATAGGACATGTCTTCCTCTCACGGAGCTGCTGGCACTGCTCCGCTGAACAGGAGTGCAGAACCTGCAATGACATGGGCTTACTGCTCATTCTGGCTGCAATTTTCTTAGATAGCTTAGCTTAAAGATTACTGAGCGAGGCATGGCAGTGCATACTTGTAATTCCCATTACTCAGGAAGCTGAGGCAGGTGGACTGCAAGTTCCAGGCCAGTCTGGGCAGTTTTGCAAGATCCTGTCTCAAAATTAAAAGAAGGGCTGGGAATATAGGTCTGTGGTAGAGCACTTGCCTAACAGCACCACCAAAAAAAAAAGTTAACTGCAAAATAATGCCACCACTGAAGCAGACACTATAAAGGCAAGGCTGCATTAGGGAAGAATTATTTTAGGGATTTTGGTTTTGTTTCTGTTTTTGGTACCAGGAATCAAACTCACAAACCTGCACTTGCCATGCAGGTGCTTATGACACTGAGCTAAATCTCCAGCCCGTTTTAGGAATTCTGCATCACAAGCATAACACATAGATCTTGAAACATATTCCAAATATTTGTTTCATATCTGTTTCTACTGACATGCTCTTGGCACTGCTCATCCTGGTGTGCCTGACATGGCTGGTACTGCCCTGTGGGGTTCTGCTTACCTGAGTGGGGCTCCCTGCATCCAGCAGGTGAGCTGCTCCTCTGTGATGAGGACCAAGGAGCTGACCTAGGGACAGTCAGGAAAGCCAAGGTGGAGCTGGGCCCAGCAACCACAGCTTCTGAGAATGGTACATCACCAGGCAGAAATCATTTGGCTTTTGCTTCTTTTAATCAGGTGGCAGAGGTCCTCATGTGCGTGCCAGGCAAAGCAGGGCCCACAATGGAGGAATAAGGGATATCCATACATGTTTCCCATGACAAATGACTGAGAGGCTTCACGCAAGGATGTCCTCACAAAGCATATTTACATCACGGTGGAAAACCTCACAGAACCGGGCACCCAGAAGCTACTCCGCAGCCCTCAGCCGCACACGACTGGGTGCCTGAAAGGACACGCACATAGTAGCTAAGACCCCTGGAAAGGGATGTCTGCTTTAGTATGCTTCTGAAAGTAGGATACAATCCCTCGGAGGGGCACGCACAAGCAGACAGCCGCCTACTTGAGGAGCTTTGCCACATTCAGACTGGGCACAACAATCTCCTTGAAGAGGGGCACATAGTTGGGGTTTGCCTGAGTGGGGCCCTGCTCTAGTGATTCGATGATGGTCTGCTTCATGTCTCGGCTGGCATCCCCACGCATGGCTAACAGTGCACCGATGTGGTCGTCCCTGTGACAGAGGGACACAGGTGTTAGCCCACACAGCTATTCTCACTTGATCCTCACAGGTGACCCCGGGGAGGCACGTCTGGATGCGCAGACAGAAGGCGCCTTTTCTCCATGCACTAGCACACAAGGCTCAAACACTGTTCTGAGAATCCCTGTATTGAAGAATGGCCCCCAGGGGAGGGCGGAGCACTCAGAGGGCTCAGGAGCTCACTCTTCCCCTCAGCAGAGCTGAAGCAGTGAGGAGTGGGTTCAGACTGAGCTTGGACACATTCATCCTTCAAGAAGCAGGAAGCTCCTAGGATAGGTTGCAAAGGCCAGGTCGTGGCCAGGCCCAGCACTGTGGGCAGGCGGACAAGAATGCTTCTCCCCTCAGCCTAACATCAGGAACCCCAAGGTTATGAACACAGAAGAGTGTCCTGGCCATACATGGCATACACTCCTTTCCGTAGGTCCCACAACTACTGCAGGACAAGGTTTCCTAGAACCATCTATCCAGGGTGCTCCCAGATCCCAACCCATCACTACCCATACCAGCAGCTAGACTGTGTCCCAGATTTCTGTCCACTCAGGCAGAGGCCTGGGCACATAAGAAGGTGGGCAGGACATTGTAGAGAAGTCATGCGGCTGCCCTCTCTTCCATGACCATCACCACAACCACCCTCCATCACATACCCAGTTGGTGCCAATGTCTGCTCCCTGGGCCTGTGTGTACACAACTTGTCTTCCTACCTCCCTGGTCAGCTCACCAGGAAGATGCTTGGTGATTACCTGATGTCTGGATACTTGCTGACCAGAGTTGAGACCTCAAGGTAGAGCAGGGAAGGGTCTGTTAGCTTAATAACCTCTGCCACAGCAACAATGGTGTCACAATACCCATCCACGTCTTCGCCAAATCCCTGGAAAACAGCAGAATGAGGGGCAGCCTGTGCTACTGCTCTAGAGCAGGAGGACAGCTTTATTCTGACTCCTCAAGCCCTTTTCTGGCCAGTACCCTGTCTTTCCTGTGGACACACTGACACTATGGAAGAGGGGCCTGACCCAGCCTTTTAACGGCTGGAGCACCTGAGGTGAGAACAATGTGGGCAAAGCAGGGTCCCTGAGTCAGGTCACTGGATGGCACCAGGATCTCAGAATAGGAGACAGAAGGGCAGGGGATGGAAAGCAAAGTAGGTATTGTGCCACCGAGCCACAAGCTACCTGAGAAATCAACAGCCACCGACGATAGTGTGAGCCTCTTGGTAATGTATTTATCATTCACAAAGCCAGGAGGGCTCTGGACCCAGATCCTGCCCCGACAGAGAACTCATCTGCTGCTGGGTCCTCTTGTGACTGGTTCCACCCATCAACCTGCCTGTCCCAGGAAACCAAAAGCCAGCCATGGGACCACAGGATTCTGTGCCTACATGACGAGCCCTGGTGATTTCAGCTATGCCTGCAACTCACAGATGCCAATTTCCGGAACAGGAAGCACAGCTGCTCAGCCTCCCGGACCATCTTCTCAGCACCCTCCTTGCGCTCCTCAGGGCTCCGAAAAGAGATGCGCTTCTGCATGACAGCCCGCAGGTACTCCACTACCACACGCCGGTGTGCCTCGGCTGTCATCCTCTGGCAAGAAACACACTGAGCTGTAGCTCTGCCACTCTGGTGGGTGAGGACTGGTTCAATAAGCCCAGGCCAAGCAGAGCAGCTGGAGCACATTGTTTTCATCAACATAGTGGGGCATTTTGGAGAAAATCTATGTCACTGTGAGCTTCTGGCTATTCCCCACAACCTGGCAGGGAAGGTGCTGGTACTGGATGGGGACCATGCTGACATCTCCATTCTAGGCAGCTGTGTACCACACACCAAGCAGTGCTGGAAGCAAAAGCCAAGCCACAGTGGGAGGAGCACACTGTCTCTGGAGGAACACCTCCGCCAGTGTGAGAGTGGTTGGAGGTCATGAATACACAAAGTGACGGTGCCACAAGTTTCATGTGAGCAGGTGGCAGTTGTGTACCCTGTCAGCACAAGATACCACACTCCAACATGGGATGGTACCTGCCCAGCTTAAGGTTGTCAGACACTGACTAAAAACCAATATACAAATATTTAAAGGAAAAAAACCATGCGAATGAGTACTAGCAAAAAAATAAAAATCACCAGATGAAGTTTTCAAACTTCATCTGGTCATTTTTATTTTTTATTTTTGCTATAATTTTTTTTTATAATTTTGCTATATTTTTAATTATTTGCTATAATTACAAATTACAAAATTTACAATAATTACAAAAATTACTATTTTTAAACATAAAAATATAATGCTGAAATGTAAGCAGACAAAACTCTATTCCAGAGTAGATTTATATCCAACTTTCAAATAATTTTCATATCTTGGAGTAAAGAAAGATTTATAAAACAAAAAAAGGTTAACCATAGAAGAAAAGATACATTTAAATACATTAAAAAATTAAGGACAGCATTCCTCAAAAGAAACCATGAAAAGATGTAAAAACTACTAATCTCAGACTGCTTTACACAGCCCACAGTAGTGGTCAAATACATAGATTCACCCTCCCATTCTGCAGGCAAAGTCCAAGGAGAGGTGAGTGGGCTGGCTCTTCTAGAATCTCTCTCCAGAGTGCCCTCACATGGTTGTCCTTCTGCAACCTCTCTCTTCCAAGGACTCTGCCTTTTCTCCTGAGGACTGAAGCCTACTCTTACAAGGCTTCTCGCTAACTGCTTCTTTAGAGACACTACCTCTCAGCATAGCCCCTTTCTAGGAACAGGGGCCAGAGCGTCAACGTTTTGAGAGAGATACAATTCAGCCAATCACAGAAACAGAAACAGAAGAAAACAGAACCACAACACACACAGCCAGGCAGAAACTCACTTCAGAGTACACACAAAAATCCTATAAAATGAAAAACTTCTACAAATGAGTTAAAACTTCATAGGCGGCCCAGATTGTGACAACACCTCTTAAAGGAGGAATTCCAGACCAACCAAATAAGGGTGCTGGCCCCATTAATAATGAGGGTGCTGCCCACTTAAATCACAAAGAAAGGTCTCCAGATACCCCCAACAACCACAAATAAGACACAATGACCTGGCTGCTGCCCAGAGTAGGCTCCATACTGAACCCAGGAAACATCTCCTGGAAACACTGCATTCAGTCTCATACCCCTGGCAAGAACACTACTGGGACAGTCTGGACATGTCCAGCACCAGAGGGAGGGGATGCTGAGATGCCCCATGATGCCCTCAGTGGCTTTGGACCGAATAATCCCACTGTGTAAAGCTTAAAACAGATATCACTATAGTCTGCGTGTGTGTGAATGTGTATGTGTGTAGCACTTAGGCCTTTGTACACTCTAGGCAAGCACTGCCTGCTGAGCCACATCCCCAGCCCACACTCTTCCTAGGGAACATGTTCAGGTAAACAACCACAATAAAAGGTGAGTGCTGACTACACTACAATCTCAACCAGATGCTGGTGATGTAGGCATCAGTTGAGAGTTACTCATGATGGTGATTGTGTTTGGTGCTCCCACAAGAGAGCTGATTGTGGGTAATCAGAAAGCACATGGTTCACAATGAAAATGACAAGGAACAAGCCACAGACACATGAAGAGTACAAGTCCTAGAAAAATCTAGCCAACCAAAACTGGTCTGAGAAGAGAAAGACAGAAGTGTCCCAGGACAGGACAAGCTGTATCCACCCACACTGAAGGAAACATCTTCTGAGTTCCAGGGAGATTCTGCCAGGCTTCTCAGGCATAAACACCATCTCGGGCAAAGCACAGGTAGCTCTCCTCAGTCCGCTGTTAGTCCACTGCAAGCTCAGTCACTAGCCAGAGGAAGAAGCAAGAAGGAAATCCCAAAAGGGCAAAGGACAACTTGCCCCAGTAAAGTGTGAGTAGAAGGCCTCAATGACAATCCCACAGCCACAGGAATGGCTTGAAGAACCCCATCCGCTTCAAGGACAAAGGACAAAGAACTGCAATCACCTCAGTAGGTGCAGAACCAGCACTTAGTAAAACAACACCAGAGTGTAGTAAATGCCGAGGAAATTTCACACACGTCAGTCCTGGAAAGCCAGAAAGAGGATTCTCCTTGACCTGAGTGCCAAATGACAGGAAGCAAAGTGAGCGGTAGGCAGCACTGAGGACTTGGTAGCCACTTATTTCAGCTTAGGGGTTTATATTCACCAACATTTTCAATGAAAATAAAACGAGATTCACAAAGTGTGAGGCCACCTTAGTGTATGATGTATTCTAGGAAGGCAGGTGCAGAGTCCTAAGCTGCCACTCCACTGCGTGTGCTGCTCCACTACACCATCTTGCTCCCTGCAGAAGGCACTACAGGCTTGCCTAGCACTGTCCAGTTCCTAATGCTTATGCTTTGCAGACAGTGGAAGAGACTGTCCCTCCACGGGATGTCTGATGCTTAGTGCAGGTGTCCTGCAGCTGTACCCACTGTGTATGGACCACCTTTCAGTCAGCCCATGTTCAGGTAGGAGAGGCCTTGGGGATGACTCAACCAGAATTCAACACACATGGGTGCCGACACACACATGTATACACATGGGTACTTACAAATGAACACAACAAACACATAAGCACATGCATATGCACAGGAGCACATGATATATGCATAACACAGATGTGCAAACACAATACATATATACAAATACACAGCTGTAAAATAAACACATCTGCATTACCATACATGCACTTGTATACAACATACACACATCAAACACTATGTGCACAGCCAAATGTGCATATAACATATGCACAGGCATTGCACGTATATACAATATACCTGAACATATACACATACCATACATATATATGCACAACACATGCATATGCACACAATATACACATGACCATATATAGTTCATCCAATATATTCAATGCAACCACATACCACTCACGTACCTACAGCCTCTCTCTGGACTCAAGGCCCTCCTTCTGGCCAGGGTAGAGATGGACGTGACTTTACCACTAGGTAACAGCAGGCCCAGTTTCCCTCAAGGTTATTGCTGGAGACCCTCCTCTGAAAGTCCTCTGAGTGTGGACCCAGCCACAGGTACATGTGACTCATCCACAGTGGAATATGAACACTGGACCCATATTAGAAGCTGAAACTCCCATGGGACTTGGATGGCTCGGGGTGAGGGAGGTGGTGACACTGGAAAGGAGCTGCCCCTGCCCACAAGCTGTTGAGTGGCACCTGAGGGCTTGTTGCCTGTGTGCCTAGAGATTTGCTCATCAGAACTGTCTGTATCTCTGCTTTGGCTAAGGACTAGAGTTACAACAACTCTGGAGCCATGTCTGCACCAGCTACAAATACACCAAGCTGTGGTACATTTCGGCCAGAAGTTTGCTTTTACTGCCCTATCACTAGCCAGATAGGTAGGGGCTGGTTCCAATGTGTCCTCCACCCTTATCTCTGACAGAGACCTTCTGACCGCAGTGAGTGGCCAAACTAGTTTATTCAGCTTAAAGCACCTTTTAATGACAAAAAGCTTGAAGATTTCTTTTTACAAAACTGGACAAGGAAAAAGCACAAAAAGTAGAAGGACCAAAAATGAAGATGGCACACAGCATCATGACTTATGGTGCAACTGCTCATACATGACACTCATACATGTGCCACAATGAGAAAACTGCATGAAGCCCTGGGGGTGAGGCCGAGCTCTCAAACCACTTCCTCCTTAAAGCTCAGAAACCAGTGTCAGAAGCTAAGTAATACTTCTGATAACACCAACAACCAAGGCCTGGACGAGGAAAGCACAGACTTGGGGATACCACAATGGCCAGGTAGGAGTGCCTGTCTCCAGGCTGGTGTAGGTTCTGCATGCAGCAGCAGGTGATCAGACATGTTCCCTCGGTTGGCAGCAGGATCCTGAGTGCCCACTGGAGTGTGCTGGAGAGTCTGAGAGGAGCTGTTGTTTCTCCTCAGAGGTCTTTCTGAGAGTCTCTGGTACTACCAGTGTCCTCTCACCCACATGGGGACCAGGTCTGTGGCCTGCCCTTCTCCACCCTTAGCAGAGGTTGAGTGGGTTATGGGAAGGGTTGGACAACACTCACTTCACTCAGGAGCCCATGCATCCTCCTTCCCATCGCCACCATATGACACCAATGCCACCTGCATTCCCTGGGTCTATCATAACCACCAGTGAGCCAAGCACACTGAGTTCTAAGGCAGACATGAGGGAGGCTGCAGTGTGTTACATCTTACCTTTTTATATGGCCTTTTAATTTTGGCAAAATCATTAAAATAGTCTTCCACAGTGACACAGATGGTGTCCACAGCATTTGACCCTACCAGCCACTTCTTGGTCATCAATTCATTCAAATGTTGCTGAAAAGCACAGACAGGTCACAAAAATCATCTTGAGTGATGCTCTATAGTTTAAACACAGATTTATACTACTTACAACCATTGAGATAAGCTTCTCAAAGTAACGGTCAGACATGTAAATACCTTTGCATGCATTCTTACCTTTAATGGCAACATATTTATTACATATGGATGCTCCATAATTTGCTCAATTCTTTACTGAGGGATCTTTCAACATTTTTCATATTTTGCAATTTTAAATAGTGCTCCAGTAAATCTGTGTAATTTTGCAAGTGAAATTCCTCAGTCAAAAGTATCTGATTAGAATTCTGATAACTGTATTTCCGAACTGCCCTACAAACTGTACCAATTCAGCTCTACGCAGAACACAAGAACATACTTCTTCTCTTGTGCCTTCAGTATCTACTGGCATGTTTTTAATTCTTACCTCCTGGTAAGCAACAAATAAATCTTCATTCTTTAATTTGTGTTTCTTTAACAATAAGATTGGGCTCTCTATTTCATATTCAGAACTCTGGCATTTTTTTTTTCCACAAAGAGCTCTTTCATATTTTTTTTTTTTTTTACTAAGTCCTTTTTAAAATTTTAACATAATCACTATTATGGTTTTTATCTGTTATGGTTCCCCTAAAGCCTCATGCAGTGGTAGAGTTTTTCAGAGGTTGCCAAATCTAGAGTGTATGCGTGATTCATATTGCAATGCTGTGATTAAGGGCAGTAGGATTAAGGGTGGGGGACTGCTAGATCATTCACTGACTGGACTGGCACTCTCCTGGTAGACTACATTCAACGTAAGGGCCAGAAAAGGGCATGTCTTGCTCTTGTTTGTTACTTTTGCTATTTTCCACCACCATGAACTGCTGCCCTTTTTCCATGTGCCACCCTGTCTTGCGGCCAGTTGAGTATGGACCGAAATATCCACAAATTGTGAGCTAAATAAACCTTACCCTCTTTGACTTTGTGCACCAGGTATTTTATCTCAGCAACAAGAGACAAATAACTGAAACATCACAAAACAGACACTTCTTTCTTTCTTTGTAGACCATTTTTAAGAGTTCCAGGTACTTCAGTTCCTTAATGCTGGACACTTGTGAACACATTTCTGCTCTTAACTGCAGCACAATGATTACTGCCAAAATGACCCATGTCCAGTAGGACCCAAAACAATGAGCCCGACTTGCTCATGTACGTGATTCTTCCATACAAGTGTAAGGGATCTTTGTTTGTACATGTGTGTGCATATGGTGCCACAGCACATTACTCTTCCATACACATGTAAGGGATCTTTGTCTACATGTGTGCATGCATCTTTTGTCTCTGTCCCATAGTGAGACTGTCTAGGTGGTACCGTGAGGGTTCTTCAGCTGTACTTTGTGATGAATTTCCATATAGTTGCTCTATGTGGTAACCCATCCCAAGGCTGGATGTCTGATATTTACTGGGAGTCTCTACTGCGTTGTGCCTCAGGGCCTGGCATAACATGAAACAGACAGAGGCCCTCTACCTTTTGCTTCATATGGACAGACTATAGCTTAACTCATGCACAGCATCCATAAGCAGAGCACAATGTTCCACAGGGCAGTATAGAGACCCCTGGGCTCCACCCTCTCCCCTCAAGGGAAGGAGCCAGGCCCACCTCCAGGTCCAAGAAGACCTCCTCTAGCAGGCTGCTGCAGCCTTCCTTGGCAATGGTATCCAGAATCCCATTCATACTTGGCTGGCTCAGGCACACACCCTCCTCTGCTTCATTTTTTAAGTACTTCTTCTTCAAACTGACAATTGATTCTCTGTAAGAAAACATCCTGGGTCAGGAGAGCAGCCTCTTGGGTGCCAGCACTCACCTCCTGCCCCATGAGCATACTTAAAAGTCTGGCAGTTGTTGATGATGGCGATCATGTACTGCACGTAGCAGTGTGGGTGCTGCCGGTTCCGCAGGTGCTCCTCTTTGTACAGCTGGGCCTCGTCTCTGTACCTAGGGACAATGCAGGTGTCAGTGTGGGGCACCATGCTCTCCCAGTACCATGCTCACATCAGCCTGATAGGCAGCCCATGTTGCTACCACCAGACACATCTCTAAACATAAAGCACACTCCTGAGTGCTCCACACTGACTGAAGAACAAAGATGCTGTTTTAAGCAGATACTAAAGAATATGAAGGAATAGATACAAATACTAGATTCTTGATATATCAAAAAAAAAAAACCAACTGAGATGCCACATGTAATTTTTTAGCTTATCTTGGAGATTTTCAAACACTGGAGCAGGGGAGCAGCACAGTGAGCAATGTATATACTTTTGGATGTTAAAAAGAACTAACTAAAAATTGGCTTTAGAGGAAAAGAAACATTTATTCTGCCTTTCTGTTCAAGTGTAGTTCAGGTACCAACAGCTGAGACTGGTCTGGGAAAGGTCCTTGTCACGTAAATGAGTAAGGACCTGCTGTGACCTATGGTGGGCTGACATAGGCCTAAACCAGCGGACAGACCGACAGGATTCAAGACGTGACTCTGTGAGTGAATGGAGGGGCTCAGGACTCCGAAGGAGAGGTCTGATGCTTGGCACTGAGCTGTCAAGGGGGAACTAACCAGTATCTACTAAGCTGCAATGTGGAACACATCCATCAGTAAGCAAACAAGGACTTCAGCCAGCTATTGGGGTGGTCCTGGTCCTAGCACAGACAGCAGCGAGTGGACTAGTCAGGGAATCACAGGACCCTGGACACCACAGTGACTTGCCCATCTTATCTGAAGAAGGAGCCTACAGAGGAGAGGATGGCCCTAAGGCAGCAGGAGCCCAAGAATGCCCGGCGTGCCCATCTGTGTGAGCAGATGTTGCAACAGTCACGGCATATGACATAGGAGGTGACTGCCATGATGCCTGCAGAGCAGAGAGGAATGGCAGGGGAAAAGCAGGTCAGGTGAGGACTGTGAGGCAGAGGTGGCTTTGGGGTGAACAGACTCTTTATGCTATTGTTTCTCTTCTGTCTAGGTCTGAAAACCTTCATTACAAACAATCCAGAGGGAAAGGCCCACTGAAACACCCTCCCCACTGCCATCTGCAGGGTGGGGGGATCCCCAGGGAAGTGACTATTCTCCTGAGGGCTCACCCCCATCCTAGGAAGTTCTAGTCAAAGGCAACTGTCTAAGGTACCAACCTCCATTTGGCTAGCATTTCTGACTACACTGCCAAGGACTTCACAGCACCTCAGATCAAGAATCCTAAAGAGAATAGTGTGGTCTACTAAAAAAAAAAAAAAAGATTATAAGATCTAATCCATCTGCATTTCTAAGTAAGAAAAGGGCAACTCCCTAGGCTTATCAGCCTATTAGGATCAACACACTTTTGCTATCGATTTTAAAAAACATATCTTTTCTAAATTATTAAAGTAGCAAAAATACATACCTACTTAGAAAAGAATTCATTTGCTGAAGACACAAAAGGAGTACCTTTGTTTTCAAATCTTCACTTATCTGAGCAGCAACTTGCAGATTCTGTTCAAACATCTGAAAGTTGAAGAACTTATAAATACTGACACAGTTTCACAAGAAAACATATAATCCAGGTTCCCAATTAATGAAACTCTATCTGCTAACTGGCAGTTATAAGTCCAAATTCCAAGAAAAAAGTGAAACTAACTGAAAAATATAAAAACAGGCAAAATCAACACCTTCCTCAGCAGATGAGAAACCAAGCAAATGATGTCCTAGTCACCCACTGACGTGTTTCTATCAAGGAACACACATTCTCTCACCACATCCCTGATGCTAGTGACAGGGAAGCGTCAGCAGAGGGATGGGGGCCCAGGGCGCTTGAGTTACAAGGAGCTAGGCTGGAAGTGTGGAATCTGAGCACCCAGTCTGCTCCTTAAAGTGATTTGTGAGCAGTCACTTTCAAGGACTTCAGGAGTAGATTTCTAAAAATCTGGAGCAGACACACTAAAGTTCGAAGAGCTAGGACCCAAGAGGTGAAGGAGGACAACACAGCCTGAGCTCCCCCTGGGCTCTGGTGGTGCAGTGTAATTCAGGAGAGGTAGACTCCCTTTGCTAAGGAATAACAGCACACTTCACACATCCACTGGCCTTGCCTGTGCCTGGCCGGAGGTTCCTACTGTTGGCACTGCTGTTCACAGCAAGAGAAAGAGACACAGCAGGGGCAGGTGTCAAAAGTTAAGTCAGACCCCAGGACTGTGACTAGTTAGTATACAGGGAAGCATCTTCAACATGCTACAGGATTTCCCCCAGATTCTCCAGATGAACTCAATTACACAGTATTCTAAAGGCAGATCTTGGGCATTTACAACAGGAAGAAATGTCAAACTCGAAATGGTAGTGTCATGTACAACCTACACTATAGGTAGGTGCCAGGGCAAACCCAAAGACTTCTTGGAAAAACCAAAGTCATCATGGGCAAAACTAGTTGGTAAGTAGAATCTTGGATCCTCAGTTTCTTCAACTCCAAAGAAGAGACAGAGAGAGAGAGCAGGATAGAGTCCCTGATAACTTTATGTCTACAAATGAAGAGTGAAGCATATGTGGCCCTCAGTGAAACTGACAGAGCTGCCCAGAAGGTGACACCATGGAGATCCATGGCTCTTACCTGGAAGACAATGGCAGGCAGTGTGGTCTGGTAGTACCCATCCTGGTCGGCTTCAGGCTCTGTTTCTTTGCTCCAGTCCTTCTTGTCTGTTTCCAATGCTTTCCGCAACCAGCCAATGATGTTGGACTAGAGGTGTGGCATCATGAAGAAGGGAAAGGAGGATGGGTACTGAGTTATACCCAATGTTCTCACTACAGTGCACATGCTGCCCAACCAGACATCACAACAACCCTCACTCTCAGAGGGTGCAAGGGCACCTCATGAGGAGGCAGGCAATGCCCACACCAGTCTCCAGGGACATGGACCAGAACCCTCCCTGCAGGTAAAAGGGGAGAACGGACAGGAGATCCTGTGGATGGATGCAGCTGGACTACTCAAACACCAGAAAGCAAGGCAGACAGCCTGTGGCCAGGCTCAGGCCACCCAAGTCAGATAATATAGCCCATCACTTCAGCCTCAACAGAAGATAGTTCTCCAACTGCCAGGGAGCTTTATGCTGGGTGAAAATGCCACAGTGTCACTTAAGAGACACGCTGACCTTCCAACTTACTGAGACTTCCTGGTGATCTGAAGTTGCAGACAGACTGGCTTGCCATGCTCCCAACTATCATGCCCTACTGGGACTCAGTAGTAAGTGCCTGCCAGGCAGCAGCACATGTGGCCTGGACACAGGGACAACAAAAACTGGCTCCCCCAGCCCAGAACTGCTGCTGTTTGTAGAACAGACACTCCAGATCCAGCAGCCTCCAACTGCAGAAGACATGACAAGTCCCAGAAACAGAGCTGGACAACTTCAGAGTGGTTGGCTCAGATGTAGCTGGGCCTTCTTTCCCATGGCACTGGTCATGTCCATACTTCTAAGATAACCCCTGCGCAGTTCAAGGGCTCTACTCACAGTGAGTGTGGACATGTATGTGTCGAGCAGTTCAGAGACCACACTTGGAGAGAGCAGAGGCTCCAGGGCATTGACGTTTACTTCTGGGGCCAGTTCCATGTTCCCCATCATCTCCACACTACAGTGAAAACCAGTTGTGAGTGGTAAGTAACAGGAAGAACAGTCTCAGGTAATCTGATACACATGCAGATGCCCTTCCCCCCTGGAGGCAACCCGGCCAACATTTTATAATTCAAGGCTCATACAGCATGCTGGCTGAGGAGTTGAGTGTCTTGGGGTCCCATGTGATGTCACCTCACAGACTATGGCCATGTGTATCTCCTTGATGCTGGCCTTGTCCCTTTGTACCAGCAGCTCAAATGCAGGAAAGAGTCATGACTGTGAGGCCCATCTGTCTAACTCACTGTGTCTCTAGAGCCTCTCAAAAGCAGGAGGCACTGCTAGTTCGGCATTATTAGGTGATGAGCAGAACCATACCCTAGGGAACATGCCACTGCAGTCACCATCACAATCTGCAGGAAGATGCAGACCAGGCACACCATACATGGCATTACTTGTGGAAAACAGGTCAGCAAAAAATCAAAACTACATTCAGTATTGTGCAGAATGCAGGGTAATGTGAACTAAGTTTCAGGCAAAAATTTCCATGCAAAACAATGTCTGTGAATGTAGCTTGGTTCTTACAAAGTCTAGAGTTTTGCTGGGCATGGTGATATATCCCTATAATCACAGCTATTAAAGAGGCTGAGGCAGGAAGACTGTAAGTCTGAAGCCAGACTGGGGAACTTAGGCTGCACTGCTCAGTTTGAAGGCCATGGGTTCAATCTGGAGTACTGCCAAGAAGGAAAGGAGAGGGGAGACCACAATGTCTAGAGGTTCACTGCTCAGAGAACTTACACAGTACATTCCCTAAAAACAAACTTAGAATAACTGAACGATATTATTACTAGCTAGTCAACCTATAAAATGCAAGGCCAGGTATGGTAGTATAAGCCTGTAATTTAAATACTCTGGGAAGCTGAGGCAGGAGGGTTGCAAGTTTGAGCCACACTAGGAAACTTATACTTGGTGAGACATAGCCTCAAAATAAAAAATAAAAAAGGCTGGAGCTTTAGTTCAGTTAAAAGGCCCTGGGGTCAAGTCCAAATTCACATTTATATGCAAAAGTGCACACATACAGAAATCCAAGATCTAGCTGAGTTGAAAAGTGCTTTATAAAATTCTCTAAGTATTCAAAGATCATTAATTTTACCTGAGTACTTCTGTGCTGAGACGCTCCATGAAGGGGCTGGAGCTCAGCAGCACAGCAGCTGCCTGGCAAGTACGAAGTCATAAGTTTGATTTCCAGTACAAAAAAAGAAACTTCATTCAGTGTGTAAAGAGAATTCCAGAGAGCAGTGCAGATGCTTTGGAGAGAGCCAGGTTTCAGGGGACATGTAGGAGACAGCTCAGACCAAGGGGCATGTGGATGAGATCCTGGCCTGAGGGGCATACATGAGAGACACCCCAGTCTGAAGACTATGTCTGAGAGAGGTCGGCCTGAGGGACCATGTAGCCAGTATGAACAGAGCTCACAGCCTAGCAGTGAAGCTATACAACCAGGACACAGACTGCACAAACCTCATTAATATACTCCTCACTCTCCAAGGTTCAGACTTGGAGCCAGGATTCAGGGCCCAGCCTGAATCTTGCTTCCTAACTGCTCACCTATCCATGGAGACGATCATAGTACTTTCTACCTCCAGAGCCTGTCGGCATGTATGCACCATGTAATGAGTTTCAGGCTACACACCAAAGTTATGCTAAGAAGCAACAACCACCTTTTCTGACTTTGTTTCAAATTTTCTTTCTCTTCACATCTTTCTGTATTGAAGTGTATAAACTCCCTACCATAAGCAGTTAGATAAATCTTGTAAATAAATTACAAAATCACAAAAAATAATCAACTTCAATGTTTATCTTACCAGCAAGGTATGAAAAAAACTCATGAAAGTATTAGATTATAACACTTAATACTGTTTCCTAGAACCATGCAAAATTAAGCTATATTTCAACTACTTAACCTTACAAAATTTCAGGAGACCCTACCACTGGGTCAATTTTCAAATGCTGTTACACAAAAAGTAGCTAATGTTCCCTCATATGAAGTAACAAAATCTAATGAAAACTGCGAAAGCACTACTGATTTTTCTATAATTGCATACACTTGTAACTGTAACTTGTAACGGTCTCAGCTCTCACTCTACTGTCCAGGATCATCTCTTAACTACTAAATCCTCTTGCCTCAGCCTCCTGAGTGCTAGGATTATGGGTATGCTCCTCTGTACCTGGCTGGGAGTTCTTTATTTCTTGAAATGCTAACTGCCACACTGTACTGGTAAGGCAAGTCAAAATTGGTAGTCTCCTCACCAGCCAAGTGATTAAATGAAGGTCATAGTATCTTCTGAGGCCACATACTCTCACCTGTAGAACAGGGAATATATACCTGCCTCAGGGTATCACTTTGAGGAACCAAGTCTACACACAGGAATAGCCTGACACAAAGTACACAAGTCATGCTCCAGGATGAGAGCAGAAACACCACCCACATCCAAACCAAAGGTTGGCCCTTATTTTCAGGTAAGTGTACAATCAGTGAACAAGAAACATCTCCACAAACCAAAAAGCAAAGTCCATAGCTGGACTCAGGAGACTGTGCATACTGCCTGTGAGTATATTTGTGCAGCTATCTTCACATAAAGAAACACACAGGTTCTACCTTGTGTAGGTGTTCAAGACCCACGTCAGCAGACTCACGATCTCGTTGGCCTCCAGGTCCTCTGAAGCTAGGTCCTGCATTCTTGTGCTCAGAGCCTGGTGGTACATGCTCAGGAGGTTTTTAAAGATCTCATAATGTGGAGGGAAGCATTGAACCATCAGGTTTTTGGCAACGATGAGGTCATCCAGAACATATTTCCTTATGATTTCCAGGTGTCGTACAAGCCACATCTTGTCAGACTCCCGGGTATCTGCCTGCGTGCCCTCAATTCTAGTTGTCACAGTTCTGTCCAAGATGGCAAACATTTTCTCTTTCCAATTTTTGGGCCTCCCAGGAGGAACAAAGCCAGTTTGTTTTTTTCGGTCAAGTATACGCCTGTCAATTTTTTCCTCCCTTTCAATGATCCTGACCACATTGACCAGCAGGGTGGGATCTCTGCGGACAGTTCCTAGCGACCTCTGCAGCACCATCCACAGTTGCTTGGCCAGCTCATCAGAGAGTCCCTGTGTGCTGCCGAAGTAGCTGTGGATAAGGGTCATGTCCCGCGTGTTCCCACTATCCATGCGGTACTGCTCACACATCAGTCCATCCCGAGAGCACTCCAAGTCCATCAGCTTCCGGTGGGCTTGCAGGAGAGCCCCTTGCTCGATCAGGTCCTGGGTCTCTCTTACAATCTCAGGCACTACAGACAAGGGACAAGTCAGTATCATAAAAAACACATCAAAGACCACCACGTGCAGGTTCTGGGAGACACCAAACAGGGGTCTTCCTGCCTGGGCATCTGTACTGGTAGAATCTGTGTGGCATTACTATTTTGAACTCTGGAGTCTACTAAAGGCTGGAATCTCTCAGAGAAAGGCTTAGACCATACACTGGGCTAATTTTGGTCAATACCAGACCTCCACACAGTACCTGCTGCCTACCTCTACCTCTACCTCTACCCTGTGGCATGCAGTTGTATAATGTTCCTAGAGCAGCTTGTGCAAGCTCTCAGGAGCCAGCATGTTAAAGAACCCTGTTCTCTAAAAACTGCAATGGGGGCTTTGACTCCACAGTCACTATATTGTTAGATTCAAATGCCTAATTTTCAACTAAAAAAAAAAAAAGATATAGCAAAAAGAAGGCAATGTTCCAGTTCAAAGGAAAAAAAAAAAAAAAAAGGGAAACTATCCCTGAAAAAGACCTGATGGAAGCCTACCAGATAGACTTTTAAACCACTTTTTATAGATACTCAAGAACTAAAGTGAACTATAAAGAATGTAAAGAAAACAATGTATAAACAAAATGGAAATCTAAAAAGAAACTCTGGAACTGACAATACAAAAAGATTTGTAATAAAAAGTTTATAAGAACAGTTCACAGCAAATTTGTATAGGCCAAAGAAAGAGATACTGAGTATGAGGGGAAAACAATAAGAATTACCACACATGAAGAACAGAAAGAAAACTGAAAAAAAGGGAATCAAGCCCATGGGTCCTAGTGGACCTGACAAGCAAGCCAGCAGACGGAGAGCTCCAGAGGAGGAGAGAGACTATTTGAAGGAATAATGGATACAAACTTCTAAGTTTGATGAAAGATACAAAAATATTAAATATCCAGGAAGCTCAACGACCTCCCAATGTGGCAAGCAAAGAAATGCATGCAACATGAAAAAGACAAACACTACAACTAAGAATCTCACACCCATGAAACCCATGAAGGGAGAGCTGAGAGTACCACTCCCTGGAAAGCCCTTGCCTAATATGCTCCCCACTGGGGAGAAGGGAACAACAATCAGCGAGGAGAAGTTAAGACATTCCCAAGTGACTCATGCTCCTTAAAATTAGGCCTGCTCTGCAGGGGGAAATAAAAAGATAACACAGGAACTTGCGAACAGTAAATGGACAGTAACTGGAAGCATATGAAGACATACAGGTCTCAACAGAAGTAAATACAGTGGGAATTATAAATTCTAGTATAATTTTTTTTTTATTAGTACCGGGGATCGAACTCATGACTGCGCACTTGCAAGGCAGGTGCATATGCCGCTGAACGAAATCCCCAGCCCCTATAATTTTAGTTTTTAACCCAACTTGTTTTCAGTATGATTTAAGAAAACAACACATTAAAAATTGGTTTAAAACCTATTAATAATATAACTCTGGAGTGTAACTGCACATTTCACTTTCAATGTATTTTTAAGAAAAGAATTATTGGTCTGTTTTTGGTTATGCAATGTGCAAAGATGTAATACTGTGGCTCCAACAAACAAAAGGAGGAAGGTGACAAAAACAGTATTTGTGTGTTACTGAGGTTAAGCTGATATAAATTCAAACCCCAGTGATGTATCGTTAAAATGGTAAATATAATTTCCATGGTAACCATAAAGACAACAGCTATACAATACACCTGAAAGAAATGAAAAAAAAATTGTAACGTTTCTTTTATAAAAAACAAAATAAAAACAAACCCTCAAAATCACCAAAGAGGGGGAGGGAAAAGTAAAAAAAAGAAGGGAAAAGTAAAGAAGAAAGAAGGGAAAAGTAAAAAAAAAAGTGAGAGACAAAGGAAAAATGGGAAATGCAGCTTTTGGAAATGGGAGACTATAGTAAGGGTTGAAGGGAGGGTAGAGGAATGTGGAAAGAAGAAGTTCTGTCATGTATAGGTGCAAATTCTCTATGATGAATGTGATCACTATATATATCTAAAATGTACCAATAAAAGCTGATTGAAGAAAAAAATAAGTAACACCAAAGACTAACTGAGGAAATGAGGGGCAAAAAATAGTTACACTGCATATGGAAAACAAAGAACAAAATGACACAAGTCACTATTAGTAATTCTTCCTTCTTTATCCTTCTTATTTAAGTACTGAGAATTGAACCCAAGGAGTACTGAGCTATAACCCACCCCTTTTTGAGCTAGGGTCTTGCTAAATTGTCCAGTTTGGCTTCCAACTTGAGATACTTTTATCTTAGCTGCCCAGTAGTTGGGATTAACAGTAAGCACCACCACACCAGGCAGTAATTCCTCTAACTATAAACAGATTAAACTCTCTAATCAATCAAACAAATGGGTTTTAAAATATATGTGTCCACAGGAGTCTGAATTTAAAGTCAAAGAGACAAAAAGACTGAAAGATACTCCATGCAAATGTCACCAAAAGAGAACATGAGGACAAAACAGATTTTAAGCCAAAAAGCTAACAAGACAAGGAAGGCCATTTACAGACAGAAGGTTCCAAATGATTATACAATTACAACAATTAGAGACATTTCTACACTTACTAACAGACAATTAAAACATACGAAGTGAGTCCAGGATGTAGTGTAGGCCCATAATCCAGGCACTCAGGAGACCGAGGCAGCCTGGGTTACATGAATTCTAGGACAGCTTGGAATGTGAAAATATACATTTATGAAACTACCTATATGTCAAAAATGGACAGACGTTAAGGCAGAAGCAGTTCTTCAGCACCTCCTCTCAATGGATGGGACAGGCAAGCGAAGGGTAAGCAGGAAAACAGAGGACCTGAACAGCACAACAGACAAGCTCAACTAAACACATGGCACACAGGAGCAGCACCAAGACAGCACACACCCTTCACGATCAGCATTCTTCAGGTACATTATATTTACATCACAAATTAAATCTCACAAGAGTTTTTAAAAAGACACATGTACAGAATATCTTCTCCAAAAAGAATTTGAAATTAGAAATCTGTTAATAGTAGGAAATCTGAAAAATCCACATATGTGTGGAAATTAGACAATACTCTTAATAGGGCAAGTAAGAAATCATGAGGAAAAATTAAAAACGATTAAAGATGAATAAAAATAAAATGAAAATTGGAGTGGAGGCGCACAGCTGTAAGCTCAGCCTTCAGGAGGTTGAGGCAGAAGGACCTCAGCAAGTAGGGAGACCCTGTCTCAAAAACCAAAACAAACAAACAAAAAAAAAACCCCAATAAAACAAGAATGAAAAGGAAAATATAACATACCAAAACTTTAGGGGATGCAGTAAAAGTAGTGTTAAAACATGAAATGTTTATCTAGAAACGCTTTGATTAAAAAAAGATTTCATATCCACAACCTAATCTTACCACTTAAGGAGCTTTTACAGAGTGCCATTTAAAGCCCAAAGCCAGAAGAAAGGACATAATAAAGACCAGGGCTGAGATAAACAAAACAGAGAATACAAAAGCAATTAAGAAAATCAAAATCAATAAAAATCAGTTCTTTAACAAGATCAATGAAACTGGCAAACTTACTTTAGATGGACTAAGGGAAAAAAACAGAGAAAATTCCAATAAATAAAATCAAAATTGAAACTGGGGATATAACTATCTTCAGAAACCCAGAGAACAGTAAAGGACAATACACTGAAAACTTGTTACACTAACAGACTGGAAAACTTAGGTGCAATAGACAAGTTTCTCAAAACACAAAGCCTGCCAAGATTGAACCACAAACAAAAAATCTGAATCGACCCACAGATAGTAAGGAAACTGAATCAGTAATCAACAATCTCCCTACAGAGAAAAACTCTGTATCTGCGGGACTCACTGGTGAATTCGCCAAACATTCAGAAAGCTAAAATCAAACCTAGAACCGTCCCAGATGGCAGAAGAGGCAACATTTCTCAACTCCTGCTATGGCCAGCACGCACGAACAGCTGACATTGCCCGATGATGGGCTAAGAGCACTCGCCTTTCACTAGCTGGGATCAGAGAGATGACTCTGCAAGTGCCAGTCCTGTCTCCTTTCCCTGCTGGGTCCACTCCAGTCCATGGAGCTGAGGCCACCTATCCTTTACCTGTTTTGTGGCTCCCATACCCAGCTTGAGCCTGGTGCTCTCCTACTCCTGTGCCTCAGGTGGTCCGTCACCCCACCTTAGTCTGCTTTCCCCACGCAGGCCCCAGCCTCTACAGTATGTGTGTGTGGCCACCTCTCTGCTGCTCCTTCATTCACAGGTACCTCTTTGCAATGGCTCTGGCTCCGCAGTCCACTTCCATGCTCTTTCCTGACACAGAACTGTGCACTTTCCACTGGTTTGAACTTTCCTAACATCTTTTCCATCCATACTTAGACAGGAGCAGGTCAGCAGGCAGGAAGGAAGCAAGCCTACCCTTTACTATGGGATAGCCTAAGAAGTGCACTGCACAAAAGTGCTGGATTTGCCTCAATAATACCTAGAGCTCCCCACCTCTGGAGGGAAAACAAGCGTGAACCGGAGAAGGCACCACTGAGAGAGTTCCAGTGGCCCCAGCCTGCTGTCTGCACTTACCTGAGAAGATGTTCTTGAGGTTTTCCACAGCTGCGGCCAGCTGGCTATGCTGGACCACCGCATCCTTCACATCCTTGAGGCTCTCAATGGTGTTGATGCTCTGCCTCCAGTCCTTGCTGACATCAGCTAGCGACTGCTGAATGTCTTTAACATCATTAAGTGCATTATGGAGCTGGCTTAGACCTGTACGCACCCCATCTAGCTGTGACTGGATTGCAGCCTAAGGGGAGACACCAGCATGTTTGTCAATAGCAGAAAAAAGAATAAACTTAAGAAGGATTTACTTGATTCCTTTGGTAACTTTTGCTTTTGCCTGAAAACAGAATAATTATGCATTTTAAAGCCTCAAAGTGTCCCATGGAACAAACACATTGGAGCCCCACAGCTCCAGTGAATGGTGGGTCAGGTGCCTGATCAGATCCACATCCACAGATTCTGTGCCCTGGCATGGCTACTGCTGATTCTGAACCAGCTCTGCGTTTTGTTTCCCCACTGTATGGGGCGTGAAAGTGCCAACCAACCCATGGATCTAATTTTAGATGAGGCCAAAGTCCAGAATAACAGATCCTGATTGGATTCCATCTAATTTCCTTTGGGACACTGGAGCTATTTTATTTTTGCAAACTGTACTGAAAAGCACAGATCTACAGAAATAACTACCAAGCAGCCAACCTAACTGAAGAAGAGACCAATGCCTACTAGAAGAAGTAAGCCCAGAAGAGCTGGCTGCTTCAGGGAGAAGTAATGGATGGACCAGCAGTGCTAGCCCATGAAAAATATATACTGGTGTAAAAACAAAACAAAACAAGTGTGGGGTTTTACCGCGGATGACTTCTACGTGGTAGGATAGAGTTAGAGAAAACCACCAATGCAGACGTCGTCATACTGTGAGAGAATCAACTGCCATTTATAAAAAGGGTTGCTAGCATGGGATTGAGTCATAGAACATCTATACTACAACTTCACTCCAGGACTGAGTTGCTATCCTGTCACAGTAACTGGGTAAGAGACAGCCATGAGAGACAGACTACAAGAGTGGGGGACACAGAACTAGACACAGATCCTCAGAGATCCCCTGAGAAGTTCAAGCTCAGTCCAGAAAACGACACTGTTCAGGGTTCAGGGTGTCTGGCTTTCAGAGGTCGCTGGGTCTGAAGGTGATGGGGTTGAGTCTTGCAGTCTGCTTAAGCCCCCTTCCCACCGTCTACACCCAAAGGAGAACATTCCCTGTGCACTAACATAAGCAGGGACATGGGTTAGCTCAGTTGCCATAGACTGGGTTTACAATAGGGAACCTCTCAAAAAGAGAGATCACCATACAAACCCACAAAATATAAGGTGGGGGTCAGAGAGGAATGTGATTTGCTGGATTCCAAAGACTATAGATTCTGGAAGAAAAACACCCATTTGGAAATACACAGGAATTTTCTTTCCTCTTCTTTTAGTTTTCTGTTTTGGGATTTTTGGTGGTGTTCGGAGTTTTATTTTCCATTTTCTTTTTCTCCCCCCTTATTTATTATTGTATTCATTTGATTTTTATCCCTCTCTCTTGTCTCACTTTCTTTTAACTTTTTCCCTTATTTTTCTTTTTCTTCTACTTTACTATTTTAATTATTTATCCTTTTCCTTGTTTTTTTTCTATTGCTTTTAACTAATTGTTAATTTCCTGTTACTCCTAAATAGGATCCTTTAGTTCAATTTTATTACCTTCATCCCATCATTTCATTCAATTTTCAAATTCTACTTTTTTCATGCTATTCCTCGTAATGTCTATCCTTGCTTGGATAATCTTAAATTTTATCAATCTGCTACCTATGCCTAGAGGAGATCTCTGAAAAGTACAGATTAACTAAAGAGGTCTCCATATGAGCAAAAAAAGTTACCCACTATAATCAATCTGTGAGATGGATTGCACAGAAAACAAACAAAAAATACAAACAAGAAAAAGTGCCTAGTCAAGAACAGTAGTACACACCTGCAATCCCAGCATTCGAGAGGCTGAGGCAGAAGGATTGAAGCGAGTCTGAAGCCAGTTTGAGCTACACAGGGAATTCAAGCCCAGCCTGAACTACACAGTGAGCCCCTGTCTCGAAAAAACAAAGCAAAACAAAACCCTCAACTTCCCCAAAGCCAATCCAGGAAGCACCAAAAGGTAAAAAATAAAAAGCCACACAACTGAAATATGTAAAATAGTTAACAGTGGAAGTAACAAAGTAGTTCAATAAGGTGTTTGGTATATTCAAAGCATATATAATTAAAAGATAATGATCCTAAAAAATCATCAGCAAGTCCAGAAAAGACACTAACAACAACAAAAAACAAAACAAAACAAAACAAAAAACTAGAGGAGCCAAAGAAAGAGATGCAAACCATGAATGCACAGCATAGAAAGAACTGGAGTTCAAAAAGAAAAAGTTCCACACCGAAATTCAGATTAAAATTTTTATTGAAAGTACGGGGAGCAGAAGTGACCAATATGAGGACAGAGTGCCAGATCTGTAAGATAGGGCTGTGGTTAGTGATAAATTAATGAGAGACATCTTAAAAACAAGAAAGCATGAAAATGGATCCAACCGCTGCTATGTGACACAAAGAAGAATGAGGCTAATTGGAATTCATGAAAAATCAGAAGACGGCACAAAGGGCGTCAAAAACCTGTTTACAGAATAATTACGGTAGGGGAATGGGAAAAAAAGTCATCATGTACAGGTACAAGTTCTCTATGATGAATGTGATCATTATGTATGTATATCTAAAATATACCAATACAATTTTATTTAAGAGAAAAGTAATAATAGCAGAAAACTTTCCAAACATAGAAAAAGAATTTAATATATAGATAAGTGAGGTATACAGAGCCCAAATAGCCACAATTAGAAAAGAATCACCCCAAGACATCATAGTCAAAGTACCAGAAACCTAACACAAGAACAGAATCTTAGAAGCTATTAGAGAAGTGTTAGAGAAACACAAGTCACTTACAAAGGTAAATCTGTCAGAATTATGGTAGACTTCTCAAAACAAATCTTGAAGTAATGGAGAGCTTAGAGTGGTGTTTTAAGCCCTAAAAGAAAACAACTTCTAACTCAGACATCAGAAAAATTATCATTCAGAACTGATGGAGAATTAAGATATTTCCATGATACAGAGCACCTAAAGAAATTTATGACCACCAAGCAGTACTTCAAAACAGTCTCAAGGATATCACAGAAAGAGACAATGAACCTAACAAAGCCAAAACCTAGTAGAATGAATGCACTAGGCACAGCGAATAATTCAGCAGAAGAGAAAGGAAAAAGAATTAGCAGCAGGAAAAGAATACAATGACAGGAATAAGTCAGTACCTATTATTTTAGTCATTGATGTGAATGGTCTCAATTTACCAATCAAAAGGTGTATTAGCAGAATGGATCAAGAAATATGATCCAGTAATTGCTATTTATATGAAACACATTTAATTCAAAAAGAATTTCATAGACTGAAAAAGTCAAAGAATAGAAAACAATATTCCATGCAATGGGAATCTGAAAACAAGTAGGTGTAGCATCTTATTTTCAGAAAAATTGGACTTTAAGCCAAAACCGATCAGAAGAGGCAAAGAAAGTCACTACAAATTGGAAACATTCGACAGGAAGAGGCAACAATTACAAACATAAATGCATCAAAAAATAGTGCACCCAACTTCATAAAACAAACACTACTGAAAATAACAAGATCAGATTTCAAAACAATTACAGTAGACTCCAATACCCCAATCACAAATAAACAAAATAACAACAATTAAAAAAATCATAGAACAGGGCTGGGGATTTAGCTCAGCAGCATAAGTGCCTGCCTTACAAGTATGCGGTCGTGAGTTCGATCCTGGGTACCGATTAAAAAAAAAAAAAAACTTAAAAAAAATCATAGAACCAAAACTTCAAACAAAGGGACCTAATAGATACACATAAGCATGTTCTACCCAACAACAGAAAATACATTCTTTTTGGCAACACGTGGAGCTTTCTCCAAAACAGACCACATATTAACAAATAAAGCATATTTAAGTAAATGCAAAATAAATTCAACTTTACATGCATATTATCAGATCAGAGTGCAATGAAACTAAATATTAGTGATAAAAGAAACCACAGAAATTATACAAACACATGGAAATTAATCAACACACTCTTAAAAAGTCAATGAAGAAATAATACAATCGCTATAATTAAACAATGCCAGTACAACATATCAGAATTTATGGGACATGATAAAAGCAGCCTTAAGAGGGAAGCTTATAGCTATGAATGCCTACATCAGAAAAAGAGAACCCCAAAATAAATAACAATGATATACATCAAGATCTTATAGAAAAAAAATGCTCTAAATCTAGAGCTATTGGAAAGAAATTATAAAGATCAGAGCAGAAACTAATTTTACAAAAATACAAAGAATCAATGAATCAAAAAATGTTTTTTTGTCAGAACAAAACAATCTCTTAGTCTTACCAAAGAGACTAAGCATATAAATCAATTCAATCAGAAATGAAAAAAGGTGAAATCACAACAGACATTCCCAAAAGTCAAGATATTATTACCAACTACTTCACAAACTTGTATATCAATAAAGTGGAGAAATGAGAAGAAATGGAGGGTTTCCTAAATACATGTGAATTACCAAAGCGGAACCAAAAAGACTTAAAAATCTGGAATAGTCCACAAACAGGAAATGAAATTGCAGCAGTAAAAAAACAAAAAACAAAACAAAACAGCTTACCAAGGAAAGTCCAGGGCCTGAGAATTCACTCTCGAATTCTACAGGAACTTCAGAGAAGATCTAATGACAATACTCCTTAAACTCTAATGAAACTGAAAAAAAGGAAGTACTCCCAAAGTCATTTCTAGAACTAGCATTACTCTGATCCCAAAACCTTGTAGACAGGCATCCAAAAAAAAAAGAGAATTACAGACCAATCTCTCTAACATACATAGATGTAAAAATCCTCAAGATATTGGCAAACAGAATGCATCAAAAAGATCATACATCATGACTAAGTAGGCTTCATCCGAGGTATGCAAGGATGTTCATCCTGCACGAATCAATAAATACAATTCATCACGTAGAAAGAAACAAAGACAAAAGTTACATGATTGTCTCAATAAATGCAGAACATGCCTTTCACAAAATCCAGCATCTATTCATGGTTAAAGCCCTAAAGAAAATAGCTACAGAAGGACCAACCCTCAATCTGATAAAAGCCATTTATGACAAACCTACTGCCAACATCACATTACATGGGGAAAAACTGAAAGCTTTCCCTCTACAATCAGGAGCAAAACAAAGATGCCATCATTCCCGTTTAGCATATTCCTCAAAACATTAGAACAGTCAGTTAACAGAAAGAAATAAAAGGGAGACGCAGAGGTCCTAAGGAAGAAGTCAAAGTATCATTTTCTATAAAACAAAACAAAAAAAACTAACCCCACTAAAAAAATGCCTAGAATAAACAAATCTAGCAATGTAGCAGGATATAAAATCAACAGCACTCCTACACACTAATAATGAACTGAGAAAGAAATCAGGAAAATAATACCATTCACAACGGTATCAAGAAAAATTAAATACTTAGGAATTAACCTAACCAAGGAAGTGACAGAGCCCCACAAAAAATTACATCACTCTGATAAAAAAGGAAATTGAAGAGAATATTACAAAATGGAAAGATATCTCATGTTTCTGGATAAGCAAAACCAATATAGTAAAAATAGTCATACTGCCAAAACTGATACACAGAATTAATACAGTCTCCATCTCAATACCAATAGCATTCCTCACAGACCTAGAGAAAATCACCCAAAAATTCATATGGAACCAGAGATTTAGAACAATAAAGTAATTATGGGTAACAATAGCAAAGCAGAAGCATCACAATCCCAGATGGAAGTTATATTACAGAGCTACAATGATGAAAACAAAAATGAGGGTCAGTGACATAGGACAGATAAAGCAGAAACAAACTCGGATACACTCAACCATTTAATCTTCAATAAAGGGGCCAAAAACAAACTTTTAAAGAAAGCCAGCAACTTTAATAAAATGGTGCTGTGAAAACTGGATAACCACAATCAGAAGATTAAGTCTAGACCTGTATATTTTACTATGTACTAAACTAAAATCAAAATGGATCAAAGATCTAAATGTTAAACAGAAACAATCTGCTAGAAGACAAAATACAAAGACACAGGCAAAGGCAAGAACTTCCTGAACAAAACCCCAATAGCACAAGAAATACCAAAAATCAACAAATGGATTTGTTTCAAATTAAAAATTTCTGTGTCTCAAAGGAAACAACTAACAGTGAAAAGATAACCTACAGAATGGGTAAAAAATTGATTCAACTATTTCTCAGGACTGACACCTATGTATATAAAGAACTCAAAACAGATTAGATTTCCCAAAATAAAAGACCCAATCAAAAATTGGGCAGCTGAAATGAACAGACACCTCTCAGAAGTACTGATGGCCAATAAAAATGTGAAAAAAATGTTAAATATTCCTGGCCATTAGAGAAATGCAAATTAAAACACAGATACCAACTTAATCCAAAAATAAAGGCCATCATTAAGAAATCAAATAATAACATATACTGGAGAGGCTGGAGGATAAAAGGAACACTTTTAAGTTATTGGTGAGAATGTAAACTAGTACAACCACTATGGAGACCATTATGGAAATTCCTCAAAACACTAAAACTAGAAATTCCATTTGACTCAGATATTCACCTTCAAGGAATCTGCTTGAAAGAGTTAAAGACATTTTACAGTGATACATGCATAGTCATGTTTATAGCAGCACTTCTAACAGCTACATCTTAGAAACAACCTATCAACAGATGAATGAATAAAAAAATGTAGTATTTGTATACAATGGAGTACTACTCTGTCATAAAAGATAAGCTGTAGCTAAATTAATGCACCTTAAGACCATAATGTTAAGTGAAATAGACACACAAGTTTAAGTATTACATGGATTCTCTTATATGGGATTCTCAAAGTATAAATAAAGAGCAAAATAAAAGACAGATAATAAGAAGTAGGGAGATCTTTTTCAAATGGAAAGAGGAACAAGAGATGGAAGGTGAAAAGAGGGAAGGAAGGGAAAAACAATTTTAAAGCGTGAATTAAAAATAGAACTAAAATCTTTGCAAATGGGAAGAGGAGCAAGCACTGGAGGGAGTAGGAAGGAAAGGGACAAAAACAAGCAAACACTGAGATGCATTATGCACATGTGCAAACTCCCTGTGATAAGTGTACTGCAAACATGTATTAATAAAAAATTTGCTTTAAAAAAGCTTCAATGCAAAAACCTTGCAACATTCCCTGTCCACCCTCACGGCCTAGTGGTGTCAGATACTACGGTGGGCATGCAGGGAGTGTGTAGCCACCCTGAACAGTGTCTTTAGAAGGGCACCACCCAGTCTCCTCTGGCATCTCTGTTTCTCCACAGGTCCTATCTACATAGAGAAAATGTCGGGACTTCATCAGCTTTGGAGTAGAGGCGCCTTCCATTTAGCAGATCAGACTCAGTGCAGGTAGCTAAGCTGACTAGTGTATTTGAGATTCAGATCCATTCCTCGAGCCAATTGAAATGCCCACCACATGTAGGGGAATGGGAAAATAGCAGATGGTAAACAGGAAGCAAGGGCAGAACAGTAGAATGATCCACATCAGGAGTAACTTATCCAGGAGTCTCTATTGTGTACAGAAGTATCTAACTATGATCATAATGATTACTTGAAGTTTCTAACTCACCACTACCACTAACAATTGCTAATTAATCTCACAAGTTCTACAACAGTTAAAAGTTCAGGCTAAAAAGGCAGGTAGGGCCAAACAATTGTTTTAACTAGCATGAAAGTGATGTCTCACATTAGTGCAGTCTTTAGGTCCCTTGTTAATCCATGTGAACAATCCCAAGCTATGGCACTTGCATGGTTTTTCAGCAGGAAGAATGCACAACCCATTAATTTGAGAATAACTTTAGTCAAAGACACTCTAAAACCCCTAAAATTATTCTGCTGCATGTCGCAGGTTGTGGTTTTAATTACACTAAATGTGTCTAACTTAACCACTTGACAGTTTACCTCGAGTGTCACTCAGGTAGTGTATTTGTTTACACACTGACTACCCCTTGTGTTGCTCAGGCAGGTGTCATTTCAACGAGTTGACTCTTGTATTGAATAAATCTGATAAAATTCTCATTTTAAATTTGTTTTATTAGATTATAAAAGCTAATGAAAAATTGTATCCCATATTTAAATCTGTGTGTGTGTACGCATGCGTGCTGGGGGCGTGCTAGGGCTCAAACCCAAGGCTTTATGCAGCTAAGAGTACTCAAATGCTGAATTATGTCTCTAGCCTCTTTGTTGTTTTGTTTTTAATTTTTGAGATGGAGGGAGTCTTACCCATGTTGCCAGGCCAGCCCTGAACTGCTAAGCTCAAGCAATCCTCCTGCTTTAGTCTCCAGGGTGCTGGAGCCACAAAAGAGTATCACTAGCACAACTCTTAATAATATACCTCACTTCATAGCAGCACAATTTATAATGGCTAAATGGAAACAACCAAAATGCCCATCAACTGCAGAGTGGATAAAAAAAAAAAGAATGTGGTATTTTTATAAGTGGAATATCACTCAGCTATAAAAAGGATGATCTTGAGGCCTTCATAGGTAAATGGAGGCAACTTGAGACTACCCTCATAAGTGAATAAATAAGAATCATTTGTATCACATTGTGTGTCTAGTGTAAAAAGTAGTAAAAACTGTAGGAGTAATAAAACCCAAAATGTGTAATTACTATTGTAAAAAAGAGAAGAAAGTGCTCAAAGGATATAACTGCATGTATGTTTAAGTGTGTAAGATAGATAAGCACATTACTAAGTTTTTGTTGGATCATGGAGCAGAATGGTTTGCAGTCTCACTGTTTAAATGTCTACTTTGTATGCTTTAATTTTGTAACTTGAGCAACTATTTCTAAGATGACAGTATGTAATTTATCAACTAGTGATTAGTGTTTTTTTTGAAATTCTTGTTTTATCTCTACCCTTTTTTCTGTTTTGCTTTTTTTTCTCTTTAAATAAAATTTTAAAAAAATAACATGCCTCACCTCACTTTTCTCCACAATGCCAGCGCACGGTCAGCACACTATCATAGGTATTGAAATGACTGAAATAGAACTCTCTTTGCAAAAGAGCTTTAAATAAGCAGGCGTTGTTTTAAAAAGTTAAAACTGACACTTTCAGAGTACTGAAAAAGTACCTGTGACATGTTCAGTACTGTTATCCTTCTTTTTAGTCTACACTTGACAGTGTACTGTTGGAAGGAACTGCCCAGTAAGGCGAAGTGAAGTTCTATCTCCTCCCACTCCGTCACAAAATCTTATTTTGCAAAATCACCACATGGCATCAGGCAGGAAGCAGAAACTCAGCTCATGACATCTGAGGCCTCCTACCTTCAGTCTGGCCTCCACAGAGGCTTTCTTCCGAGCTTCCCTTCGGCGATACTGCTCCACCTTGTCCAGCTGATCTGGACGCTGGAGCATTCCTGCAACCCTCTGGACTGCTGTTGCCACAGCCTCTCGGTCTGTTTCCTTCATGACCAATGAGCAGGTGGGATCTGCCCATGTGTCATACCCCAGGCAACCTGTGTGCACAGGAGGAGGAACATTAGGTGGGCGTTAAACCTGCCTTTCAATAGCCAAATGATTATCTGGAACTGTCTCAAATGCTTAATTCAATGAACCTAAAAAAAAAGTCTGCACGTGGATTATAAGCTTCTTAACAAAAGCACAACCTTTTGGGACTCAAGCATGGGAAAGCCTGACCTTAAGGGAGATATGGGCATGGCAGATGTCTACATATGAGATCCAACCACTTCCCACATCATATCCTCTCTACAGCACTTCTCTCCTCCAGGCCGCTGACTTTTTCTCTCTGGGGCCCTCCCCCACAATATGGCCATGCTCACAGAGCAGCTACAGGAGGACTCCTCCGAAAGACATAGAGACACACACGCTTTACCTCTGCAGTGGGCAAGCACAAAGTCCTGTGATTCCCCTCAAAAAAACGACTCTTGAATATAAAAAACACCATTTCCAGGATTAACACCTTTCAAAGCAAAACTGACAGTAAATGGCACAGGTTTCCCTTTGCTCAGATATGGCAGATGGAGTAAAGGTGCTTAGACACCATCCTGGTTGTGGAGCTATGTGCTGAACCCCTAGCAAACAAAGAGACATAACCAACATTCGTTGCCTTTCATTAGAGCTATTTAACATCTGCTTCATAGATGTGAAAAAGACCCACCTTCTAGAATTGTTTACTCCCCATTCCTATGTTGTCAGAAAAACACTGAAATCCATGGTGGGGTTTCCAGTAAATAATTCTTCCCTGTCTATACAAACTGCATCTCTTCTCTTTCAAATGGAACGATATTGTAACCACTGTATCTTTCTTCTATTTTTTCAATTATGAAACCAGGTACACCAACACAGAATGTCTGGGCAGGACAGAAAAACGTAAAGATGACAGAAGCAAACACTGCTGCCTAATTTCTTTTCTCTACATTTCCTTCTATGTGGAGATTCCACGGTCTGTATGACTTTGTATGTGTTCGTTTTCTTATTCTTTGACATGTCATCCTCAGCATTTCCACTGACATTAAAATCGCTGTGATTGTGAATCACAAACCAGGATGTTGAACTTTAGAAATGGATATCTAATTACTCTGGTGGACATACGGCAAGGTCGTATGACCATCTCAATGTCAGACTAAAGTCGGCTACCTCTTCCATACCTTCTGTGGGGCGGAGACAGCCTGGGTAGTGGCACCTAGCAGCTGACAAAGCACATCCAACAAAGAATCTAGCAGAAATGACAAAACATATAATCTGAAGGCACAAACCCTGAACAGCACGGACTCCAATCGCAGTCTTTACACTGTCAAATTCGGAGTGCTCAGGCCAGGAACAGGGGCCGGAGCCACCCTATCACAGGGACGCCACACAAGGAGAGGATCTCAGGGTGGTGGTCACCCCACAGGGAGGGAAATTCCACCTCGAGGACACGCAACAGGAAAGGGGACCCCACAACGGGGACCCAGAACACGGATGGGGACCCTACCGCGGCAAAACCCGCACAGGGAAGCGGATCCCACCGGAGATCACCCCACGGGCAAGGGGACCCCACAGCAGGGCCGCCTACGGAGAACAGGAACCCCACAGTGGGAGGACCACACGGGGAATGTCAGTTCCCAAAGAGGACACCGCATCGAGGCCCCGCTCCGCCCTCACCTAGAGGGCGCCCGGGAAGGGGAGAGAAGGGCCGGCGAGTTCCCAGGGAGACTAATGGTAGTCAACAAGGTCTCGCCTCACCTTCTGCGCCTCCGCCGCTACACAGGTCCCGACCGGAAGTGGGTGATGACCGACACTTCCGTTTCCGGCGTGAGGCCGGAAGGGCGGGGTCCGGGCCCCCTGGAAACAGCGTTGCTGTCAGTGCAGTGTGCTCTACAAGGACCGGCGGCCGGCTGTGGACCTGGACTAGGGTCGCTGTCCACGGACCGGAGGAGGTCAGACCCGATGCCTGCGCTGCTCCGGGATCGATCCGGGCCTCCCCGCTCTCTCTCCCGCGTTCGCGGCGACCCCAAGCGCCCGCCTAACCCTAACCCTCCGCCCCTTCCTCCTGGTCTCTCGAGTACTTTACGTATTCCACTTCCGTACTGTTCTGATACGGTGTTGCGGGTATTGTAGCTGGTGTTCTCCTAGACGTGCGGCTGGTGCAGAGCAGACATTCAGTAAATAAAAGAACAACCATAACAGGAGGTGATCTGCCACATAACTGCCGCTCACAGACACCTGGAATTGAGCGCAGACGGATCAGGACCCCGTGGGAGAGCTGCAGGGGCCAAGCGGGGCGGTGGGGGGTACTCTTCTCCGGCAGGAGGGTCCCTGAGTCACGAAACTCGAACTGGGCCTTGCCTAGACAAAAACAGCAGGTACTCAACCACCCAGATTTCGGGATTGTGGTGACGCGCCTTGCCTTATCACGTCCACTACAAGGACATCCTTTGCTGTGTTACCAACTGCTAGATAGTATCGTGCTTCTAAAATAAGCCAGGATGGTACAAAAGAAAGGGCCTGAAAGTGACAGGAGGAGAGGACACCACACCACACACACACACACACACACACACACACACACACACACACAGGTACAACCACTACTTGCTTACCTGCTGAGGGCGGTGCTTAAATGCCAGTCTAGCTCCAACAACTGGCCTGGCCAAGATTTCATACTTAGCTGTGTTAACTTCTGAAAATGTAACAACAGATTGAACCATGGAGATATGTAAAAAGTTAACATTATGATTGGAATTTAAACCGTGAAGCTATTTGGAAGCTAATGAAAAAATGTTTGCCGAAATGAAGCATTAGGAGGGTATTTCAAAATATGCCAGCATTTGTTATTAGGAGATGCCCACTATCAAGACCTGGTGAAGTTTGAAGTAGGACTCCCTCATGACTTCCTAAATTCACCAGTCTGGTTGGAGATAAGATGGTATATTGAGGACTAAAGTTATTCATAACAACTTTTTAAAAAGAATTAAAAATCTTTCTTGATTTGTTTTTGTCAAGACTAAATAATGTCATAACCTCTTATGCCCCACCCAGGAAGAATTGCTAGCTGTAACAAGCATGCTTTTAAATGCCCAGGTGGATTCCCATGCAATGACTAGAGCAGGGGAGGGAGGCAGGTCTGCTGCCCTGGAGCAGGTTGACAGGAATAAATGACAAGCTGAGGGCCCAGGCTTGGGTTTTTATAGGGAAGGAGGTTTAGGCCTCCAAGCAGGGGGAGAGCAGACAGGGACTCTTGAATAAAACCCAAATGGAACATCCTTGGTGACAGGCTGTTCAAAACAAAACAAACAAACAACGGCTTCCACATTCAGGGGATGATCCAGAGGCTGGCCTGGCTCAACTCAGGATTCCTGCAGGGCAAATCCAGGAGGCTGCTTGGGGCCCTCAACCTGGACAGAAGGTTCGGGAGTAGGGGGAAGGAGGTGCATCTGAAATCTGGGTTTCTCTAGGAGAACAGTCTTGCTCTAGCTTGGTGTCATCAGATATGCACATTAAGGACACAGGAAAAACTGTAGCTTCTAAATAGGAGAAGGAAGAGTGATCAAAGCCAATTCCACAGAGAATGGAAGGGGACTGATCATAAGCAGAAGGATGCTCAGATAATCAGAGCATTAAAAATGGATTAAAAACTGAAATAGTTCAGTACAGAATATTCAAAACGCAGAAGAGTTATGAGTGGAGGGGTCTGATACACCGGCTGTAAGCCTTGAGGACGACTGGGGTGATGTTAGTATTAGGCCACGGGGGTTTTGCTGGCAATAGCTAAAGACACTTTGAAGACAGGAAACATTTCACCCTGGGAAGCTAAGGCAGGAATATTCCTGCTGCAAGGGCTCTGTAAGTTGGGGCAGGGGTGGGAACAATGAGAAGATTAAAAAAAGATAGAAACAGAAAGCTGGGGTCAGATAGAGCCCTTCCTCCAAATGAGAACAGACTGCTTGACCACCAAATGCATTTATTTATACACTTCTCATACCACACCCCTTGGCTTAACCAGCTCGATTCTTATGTCCCTTGTTCTCAGGCCTGGCATACCTGTTCATTTCCAGCACTCCATGCCCTCAGGGTGTTTCTCAGGCGCTCCATGCCCTTGGGGCATTCCTCTTCAGGCACTTACCCTTTTGGCTCCACACATGTGAACAATCACTGTCTCAGTAGCTCCCCACATCTCTGTTTTTGTAGTTGATCCAACTGAGTTTGGAGGAGTTGTGTTCGAAGAGTTCTTCAGACAGCTTTCTTATGGTTATACTTTTCTGCTGGATGTTTAAGACCAGGTTAAAGTGAGACCTGTACCATTCAAAATCAATTTCTTGCTATCTCTTAAGGTCATTTAAATCTCAGGAATTATCCTGGAACCATGCACAGCACCTCTTAGTGTTTCTGTCCGTGTTAGCCCTCTGGATACGTCACGGCCATTGCTTGACCAAGTGGCTTTCTGTGAAAACTTGGGAGATTTCTCTCTCCTAGTGATTCTGCTTAGGCACACAACATATCATAGATCACCTTTAGTGGTCCCATAATCTCCTTGATCAGACCAGAGACCCCACTGAGTTACAGGATATCACGGCAGAGGTTCTCATAGTGTCTTCAATCTTCATAGACCTCAAAGGGCCATGGCCTAAATTTTGGCAATTCTCCTAGTTCATCTATTTTTCTAATCTTTTGGTCTCTTAACCTTAATTGTTGAACATCCAGAAGATAAGTTTAATGACATTATATTGTAGTGGAGACAGTAAGCTTAATATTACTATCTTACCTGAATATCAGGTACTCTAATTAGAGTAAATAAAACTTTTATTCTCTAACCATCATGGATATTCTAATGTTTGAATCCTTAAAGACCATTAACAGATAATACATTATTCTACATGGAAAGTTAGAAATAAAAACCATACATAAAACTGCAGCATGACAAACATGCTGACATTTTGTAACATACTTAAATGTTCATTTTAACGTAGTATTCCCCCATTTTATTTATTTATTATTTTTAAAATTGTTTTATCTCTTGGGGAATGGGGGTTTAGCTCAATGGCACAAGTGCCTGCCTGGCAAGCACAAGGTCACAAGTTCAATCCCCAGTATCAAATTATATATATATATATATATATATATATATATGACATAAGCTTTTACCTAATATTTAAGGGATGTACATCACATAAGTTTTTTATTAAAGACAGATATCTGAATTTGAAAGAAAAGTCTATCATTATAAACAGTCCTTATTCCACACTTTAGAAGACCTGCATATCTGCAGGCATGTATACATTAACTATAATACAAAAACAATTACCATAGCCACATAAAACCTTTGTACAAGAATATCTTTAAATTAAAACTCCTATTGTCTTAAATCCTATTAAGGAAAATTTAATCCTCTTGATGTTGGCCATCACAGACATATCACAATAATATACTTTTTTTTTTTACCAGTACCAGGGATTGAACTCATGATCATGTGCTTGCAAGGCAGGTGCTTATTCCTCTGAGTTAAATCCCCAACCCCTGATAATATACTTTTAATAACATTTATTAGGGTACCTATCATAAGGATATGGAGATCATTGTGGCATCCTATTAATGAACAAAGGCTGGAATTTTTCTCAGGCAGCTGCTCCTTTATTCACTAAAAGAACCATAACCAATGTTTTCTAAGCCCAAAAGTCCCCTTTAGTTACCTTAGAAAATGTCTGATGGCTTCTGAGAAGACCCATTTTGATATTATTTTGACCAACTGGTAATACATTTTTAACCCAATTATATCATTTTTACAATTTTAGGAATTTATAACTATGAGTATACTTCAGATTTTGTTGTAAGTCAGCAGAGATCTCTTAAGCTTTTATCTAAATTAATATATATTTTTATTATATTTTGTTTTAAGAATACCAGTAACTTCTGTGCCCCTTTGTTTCATGTTGCTCTCAGTTCAGTTATCTCTATACACTTTATCACCTTATTCAGACCTCAGCTCCTACTTTTTTGTTACCATTCCTTTGATTAGCCCCAGTTCAGGCCCAGCCCCATCCTTGTCTTTCCATTGTGCCTTAGTCTCCGAGGCATCAATATTATCAGATTTTTGGACGGTGGGATCAGTTTCTTCTCTGGGTCTGAGATCATGATAGAACTGGACAGCATGCTCTGGCACCCAGATAGGCCATTCAGCATTTTCTGGAAAAACACAAGCATACCCTCTACCCCAAGTGAGTTGCAGTCTAGGTCCTTTCCATTGTCCAGCATGAAGATGTTTCTTTTACAAGGGAAAACAAAAGATGCAAAGGAAGAAAATTAAATTAATTTTTCTGGAGGATAATGATAATAACACCAAGAAAGTTCACTGATGCAGTTCATCAAGAGGACGAGAACTGTCATGACCACTTTTGCTGAAACAACAAAAAGGAACAGTAATCTTTTGCACTTTGCATCATGACTCCATAGATTGATGGGTGTGTAGGGGAGGACAAAGTAGGCAATATCCAGAATGGCCTTCAGCATTCCTCCAGGTTAGTAATTTAGCACTTCTAGGGTGAGAAACACTGCCTACCCCATGTAGATCCTAGTTGCCACATCCAGAGGCCATGCCATAGGCCAGTGGTGTTGGGCAATAACCTGTGTCTAAAAGCCCTTTAATTTTTCCTTCCTTATTCAATTCTGTCTCGGGATGATCTTGTTTAATCTGTTGAATCTAATATATTGGAGGGCCCAAAATCTGTGGATCCCCTTTCCCTTACTTGTAAATTTCCCAATCTTTATTAGAGGAAGAGTGACTAATGGAGCAGTTCAAGGGTTGGGCATGACCTGAATAGTGTTTTGAATAGATTGAATCATAACCTTGATTTCCCTGGTGTAGTCAGTGGTTAGTGACACTAGGTGACACCTGAAGACCTTTTAAAATGAGACTGCTCCAGCCTAGCAAGAGACCCACTGTTCCAGGAGGCAAAGGTCCATAGACTCCTGTAAGAATAACTTGGAATTCCCTTTCAAAAGGTAATACAAATCTGGAGGAGGGACTAAGGTCCCAGCCTCCACTGTCTGCCAGAGGTCAGAGATGAGCTTGTCACTGGAGGGGAAGGGTGGGGAGAAATTAGGGAAAGTGCTGTCACTGTGTGGCAGGGCCAGAGCGAGAGCCCCAAGCCCGTTTCCTGAAATAGGTTGACTGTCCACATTAGTTTTAGATTTGCATGACTTTGCCCAAGGATATCCTTGTCTACACCTTATACAAATAGGTTTTGTTAGAGGAACTTGTTTCCAGACTGTGAGTGAATAATCTGAGTAATAGCTGCTGCAAAGGCAGCCCTCCACCCATGTTGAGGGGCCAAGATCAGGACACATTTTAATCACCCCAGCCAGTGTGGCCCATTTCTTATGGGCCCTTAAAGCCTCTTAACATGATTTATTTGCATCCTCAAATTCGAACTGCCAAACCATCAACTTATTACCTGCTGTATCACTTATAATTTCCCACTAGCCTGCAATAAGCATGCCACAAAATCCTGAAAAGATTTATCAAGACGCTGATGAATGGAGGTCAGATCAAGGGATGTCTCATCCTTTGAGGGAAGTTCACACCAAGCCTTTGTAGCAGTTATTTTATTCTGCTCATAGACTTGCAATTCAAAAATAAATAGATGATTCATGGCAGCAAAGGCATTGTCTCTGATGAAAAGATCTTTTGCAATGGCTTCCTTTAATGCTAATTGTAAGGGAGAGAGGGAAGACATTTTCATCCTATGATACAACAAATCTTTTCCAAGCCGAAAAGTCAAATCTCATGTCAAATCAAAGTCAAATCTCAACTAAATTTACCGGGCGCTGTAAAATAGAATTTGCTAGGAGACAGTCCTCTGGCGTGGAAGGCTTTTTCCCACCCTTCACCACTCCTTCCTCATCTGACTGAGCAGAATCAGAGAGACTGTGCTGTGCTGGGGAGGGAGAAGGCTGGCGACTATTTTGCCGTCTCCCTTCTGTGTAGGACCTGTCTTTAAAGTAGTGCTCTGAGCCAATTCTGTTGTGACTGTCTGACCAGGAAAATGCTTTTAAAAACAAATCCACAAAGTAAATACAGAAATTGAAACATTTCTATAGCAATATTTTTATAAACATCTGTATAAATCATTTCTATATACATGTTCTTTGAGAACTGTTTGCCCCATGTTTAAAACTTGCTAAATTCAGCATATCGTCTTTCTTTCTGGCCCCAGTGAACCTGCTTCTTTCTCTGTGATCCTGGTGGACCTGCTTTTCTCTCCCTGGCCCTAGTGGACCCGTTTCTTTCTATGTCCCTAACGAACCTGTTTGCTTCTCTGGCTGACCTCACTCTCTCTCTTTCTTTCTCTTTCCCCAGGTTGAATACCTAATTCACTATCTCTGCAGTTTCTCCCCTTGTGCATGCTCATTGAGAAGTGTCTCCTACCTGCTACTTCGGCTTTCCCTGGCCCCTCTTTGGGTACCATATATCAGTGTTGTGAGAGCTCTCTAAGTTCCTGGGGGGAAGAATGATGACAGGATGATAACATAAAGATAAGGACAGAAAGCTGGGGTCAGGCAGAGCCTTTCTTCCAGATGGGAGGAAGAGACTGCTAACCCACTGCAGTGCATTTATTTATAAACTTGTCCTATGACACCCCTTCGCTTAGTTTGCTTCTTCCGCCCTGTGTTCTTGGGACTGGAACACCTGTTCACCTCCAGTACTCCATGCCCTGATGGCATTTCACAGGCGCTCCATGCCCTTGAGGCACTCCTGTTCAGGTATTTATGTTTTCATCTCTGTCCCCATGAACAATCACTAGCTCAGCAGCTCCCAACACAGGTGGACTAAAAGTTCAACCCCAAGCTGAGTAACTTAAAGACCTAGTAATATCCTGTTTGAAAAAAAAACACAAACTTTTAAAAGGGCTAAGGATGCAGCTCTGTGAAAAGGACCTGGGTTCACCCCCCAACCACCAAAAAAAAAAAAATTATACTATTGTATTACATAAGAAAAGTATTCCTAAAGGTAAGCACAAGCTACTGGCAGAGAAAAAAACACTAGAATACCTGTAACTGCCCAGACTTTGCTGTCTAGGATATAAAAACACCTGTAAACTAACCCTAAGTGCAAATAAGCACAGCAAGAATGGTGGCTCCAGGTATAGAAAAACGAGCTGGCTAGTCCCCCTCAGACCTTGCTCCACCCCAGCCATCCTGGGGCTTTTGATCCACAGACGAGGCTTCTACCCAATCCTGTCAGGTTCCTTCAAACCAACTGCCTCCTTGTAGCATCTGGGCAGCTCTAGCTGTACCCAGGGCAGTGGGATGGAGCGGGGCGGGGTGGGATGGGGGGAGGGAGCCATGGATGGCAGGAGGATGAGAAATAGAAAAGAGGTGAAAACTCAAGTCAGGTGACTTCTTTCTGGAGAGGCAGAAAGGAGCTGCTCAACCATCCTAGGGGTGGTTATTTATACATTTGACAGAGTAATGTCACATGACACCACTTTTGTGTAGCAACCAATTGCTTAGATTGTCTAGGGGCTGGGTGTCTAGACTGAAGCAGCTTGCCTGTAGTGCATTTTGTTTTAGGATCTGCTTTGCCTTTCCCCAACAGATGACGAAGTCCCAACTTCACTTCCCTACAACTTCTGCCTTCCTTCCATGTGTATCCTTTCCTCCCTCAGCCCTTTAGCTCCAGCCATTCCTACCTCTGCCATTAAAGCACTCTCAACACCTGGACCACTCTCACCTGTCCCCTTTGTGTTACAGAATGTATGGGTTTCCTGAGGTTGGTAGTTGTCTGCACCCCTCCTTAATGCTCATGCACATATGGGTGCACACATTGTACTTGTACAAATTTGGGGCAGTCCTGATCTGTGCTTTCACATGTGTTTACACAGCAGGGACTCAATGGACAGTGACAAGTAAATGAATGAAATTCACATTTCACCCTGTAGAAGTCAACAACCAGGTGTTGGGAGGGTGACTCCAAAGAGGCAGCCCTACCAGGCAGCTTGTTATGGTACCCCACAAGCACATGGTGAGGACATTCACTGTGTCAATGGAGAAAATCAGAGGTTTTCTCCCACATTTGTCCAGAGAAGGCAGGGAGATGATAGATCAGGCCAATTTAGATATCCAGTCCCCATAAGTCAGAGGCTGGCAGCAGCAGGGGTTGGGTGTTGAGCAGCTGAACTGGCCTGACAGCCCTCCCTCTGCCTATCTCTGAAGCATGTTGGGTACTGACCTGGTTTTACATGAGTGGTTGTTGACAGTGTTCCCTGAAAGGGGGGATGCCGAAGATGTATGGCTTCCTCTTTATTGGCTACCAACAGCAGCAGATGAGGCACAGGGGCTGTAAAGGGGGAAATTTGACCTGACACCCATATCCTGTGATCTGGTCCCCAGAGCACCCAGCTCTATCTTCATTATTCCTACAGGATAGTTCTGGTCTGAAGTATCCTGAAAGGACCAAGGGGGGTGCAGGTGACATTTCCTCCTCCAGTGATCTTTGGTCCAGCAATTCTGCTTTGACTACTGCCTCTGCCTAATGGTGCGGGGGTGCTTCAGATTAAATCCAACATAGCTCTGAGGAGATAAGGTGACTTCATGTGGAAAATCAAGTAGACAGTCCCAGTCCAACAAGCACATAATGAACATGTAATTTTTTTATACCAATTCTGAAAATTTAATACAAACCACAGTATAAGACATATATCTGAACCTCCTTTTTAAAAAAGAAATATATCCGGAAGCTCTGTTAAAGGCACTGAGAAAATAGCACAAAGAGCTGCTCTGTAATATCTGCTTAAGACTTCACTGGGCCGGTATGGCCTCTGAGAAATTTCTTCTTGCAGTATCCACTGTAACATATAAAATGTAATTTGTATTTACCCTCCCTTTGGCACACTCTACATTATATTTGATTTTGATATTCAGTTATTTAGGCAAAAGCTATACACCACAGAAGAGCGTTCGCCTGGAGTTAGTACTGAGAATGACCCTGTGGAAGTGACCACAGCTGCAGCATGCCCCATCACTTTCCTACACCAGTTTGCAGGAGGCACATAATACCTAACCACAGAAATGCAGATCTGGGGGTCTACTGCATGGATGTAGCCCTGGCCCTGTGTGTTTAAGGGCTGTGGTATAATGTGGCATCCTAGCCTGCAGAGCTCAGGTCCAGATGCCTAGCTCAGTGTTCACCAAGCATGGCTTGCAAGTAGTTCGTGGCTTGTCCTGGGTTACCCTCCCCAGCAGGGCACGCAGATGAGGTGCATTTGAAAGGCTGGGGCAGGGCAGGTAGAGTGGTCCAGCCAGCAGGAGTCTCTGGCTTTGCATATCTCTAGCTCTCCTTTGGTCACACGGCTAGCCTTGGCAGATGTGCAAGGAAGTCTGTTAATTCCATCTCCCTGGTCTGTTTTTCCACTTCCCAACCCTCCAGACACAGTACATGCCTGCACTGCCAGTCATGCTATGCATGTACAATGCAAGACATGTCACACAGCACAGTACCAGACATGTTACATGCATGCAGTGCTGGACATGTTATACAGATACTGTGCTATTGATCTGCTGTGCCCTCTGTCCTTGTCCTGAAAAGAAAGACTGAGATGCTGATGCTGTCTCAGGCTAGGGATGCAGGCCAGCCCGCCGGAGAGGGAGCACACAATGATACATGAACTTGGCCATGCCTTCTGGGAGGTACATCAGGTCTCAGTGCATAGAGGGCTCGCCACACTCCAGAGTGGTGCACTGGGTTACAGCTGAGAAGGAAGGAAGGATGAGTCTGAAATCCACCCCTTAGGGTTCAGTCCATAAATGTCCAGAGAGTAGATGTCAGTTGTGTTTTCAAAGAAACTGGAGTCTAAGTGGACCCTGGGCCAGCAGGAAGGGAAGAGAGGTGAGGCAGGTCCCAGCTTCCAGGCCTGGGACACCATCCCAATTCCTGCTTTAGTGAGGGAGATGATGGAGGAGGTGGAAGATGTGTGTGTCACACCCATGACAGCATAGCACCTGTCCCACTTCTGAAGGCTGCTGTGGTCTAGGCAGAGGTGGGGAGGCCCTGAATGACCAGCCTTTGAACCTGTGCCTGGTGTGCACCCTCAGCTCCCTCTTGGGCCCACCGTGAGTCTTCCTGAAAGTCTGGCTGCTCAGGGGCTTGAGTTGTGACAAGGCATACATGTATCTGCCTAATGAAATCCACCGTAAACGGGCTGAGCCCTGGCGCTCCAAAGCCACAGGTTATGGGGAAAGTACTGCTGAAGAGATGAGGGGGTGAAGCGAAAGTCCCAGCCCCGCAGGCTCCTGCCACACCCAAGACCCTGGGAATGTAGGTGGGTGGCTGCTGCAGCAGGACCCAGAGCTTTGCTTCTGGCTCCCTCTGTTCATGGGCCCTGCACTAACCAGGGCAAAACACGCATGGGGAGACCCTAAGCTGTGCTACCAGCTGTGAGCCACCTTGAGGGTAAGTGTGGCAACCTTCCTTTCTGAGGCACACATTGAATTTGTTTCCTACCACGTGAGTGAATTGCCTCCCATTACAATTTTTAAGGCATATTAGACACCTAAATCTTTCTTTTTATGGGTACCAGGGATCAAACTCATGACCGTGCGCTTGCAAAGTAGGCACTTATGCCGCTGAGCTAAATCCCCAGCCCCAGACACCTAAATCTTCATAGGGCGAGGGTGGGGCCCTCACTGGAAAGCACTGCATCTCGCAGTCAGGCAGGGTGGCATGGCCTCTTGCTCTGTCCTCTGCTGCCCTGTGTGCTGTGCCCACTGCCTGATGCTGTGAGCCCCACTGCAGGATGTGCCAGAGACAGAGACATCCCAAAGCTGTCTTCAGGCCATGGAAAAGTGAGGTTTCTGGAAGGAACAGGGTATTACCCTGTCTATCTCCATACTTAGGTGGCCTCAAACTGACTCAGAGCACTGTGCAGGACAGGAGCTGGGTGAGTGTGTGGATGCAAGTGGTTTCTGGAATGTGTGGCAGCAGCTCTACAGCAGAAAAGGAGTTTCAGGGGTTCTGGGTGGAACCTGCAGGGCAGAAGCATTTTTGGGGAAGACCCCAGGCACTGTACCCTGGCCAGTCACGGCCCATGGGGGAGAGTCTAGGGGCTCACGCTTGACCATGGGTGCTACCTCCGGTGCCCTGCACTCACTGTTGCCCAGGGTGCAGAGGTGACGGGTAGGCCCCAGCTCCAGGCAGGAGCTTTGCACAGGGTAGAATGGGCCCAGTTCCCGGCAGGGCCCAGCAGTGACCCTGCTCTGAGGGTGTGTTGCCAGCATGCCTAAGCTGAGGGGCTGGTTGTAGACCTGGTGTCCGCAGTCTGGCTCTGCTTTCAGGTGCATCCTGGTGGGGAAAGTGACCAAATGTCTCTTGGTGATATCACTGGCTCCCAGCCACACTTGGCTAGGGGTGCAACCTTCTGCTGTGTCCTCTGACCCAGAGTCATTTTCCATCTTGATTGGTACCTCCAGAGGCAGCACAGGATTGCATGGGGCACCTGAGGGCATCGGCCGACCTGGAGGCTTTACATCCTCTGTGCAGTGGCCCCCAGGGGTGAAGCACTGCATTCCAGTGCCACAGGAGGATAGAGGCACCTGGCCCTGATAAATGTCCCGCCAGGCTCTGCTCATCCGGCCACAATAGGCACTGGGAACATGGCCTGGAGGATTTCTGAAGGTAGCCATGCTGCTAGTACTGAATGTGCCCTCAGTGCCCGGGTGCGGTATGAAGGAGCCCAGGGAAGAGGTGCACACGGAGAGGGGCTCATTCCTGCCTGGCAGTGGCTTTAGCTTGGTGCTGCCATCCTGTCCACACTTTTCCATCATCCAGTTTGGGAACCTCCCAGGTACTGGCATCTCTGAGTGGCAATTGTACATGTGTGCCTCCCTCCGTGTCCTCCCTCCTGTGGAGCCACTCAGCATCCTGTCCTGTTCTGTTTCTTCCCTGTTCCTGCAGAGAGAAGATGGACATAGGACAGAGGGACTGAGACATGGTATGGGGCAAGGATAACACTGGCTAAATCTACTGGGCAGCTGTAAGCCAGACCAAAGCCTCAATGTCCCTTTCAGCTTCTGGCAGCCATCCAGGCAGTACAGAACTTCCTCTCAATACACCCCACCCCTCGCACCCCCTTACCCAGGTCCTGATGGGGATCAGAGGGCAATGGCTTGCAGGAAGAAGCCACTTCTCAGGGAGGCCTCAGCCACACTGGTCACAGCAAATGCTGGGGGAGTACAGGGGCTATAACACTGAAATGCAGACCAACACAACACTGTGCACTTCAGATTGACTCCTCTGTGATGGGACACACTGACTAGGATGACATGCAGCATCTAGTCTTGGAAGGGATGCTAGCTGGTCAGGACAGAATGGCACACCTTGAGGTGGGGCAGGCAAGTGGCCTGCAGGAGGGACAGAGAGATTGTGGATGCTATCCAAGCTGGGACAACAGTGGAGCACTGGGAGGAATCTGGGCTCCTCCCCTCACAGTGACCTCATGATGACTCCAGCAAGGGGTGGGTAACATGGCACCACTTACGCTGTGACCCCCTTGGAATCCAGGATTAGATCCATGCCCCTGAGACAGGGGCACCGAGCTCTGACTGGAACCCGGGCCCAGTGACCGGCGTCTGTTTGTGCCCTGAACACTGAGATGCCATTTTCACCATTGTTCCTTCCTGTTAGGATTTAAGAAGGGAAAAAGGACTTGGGTGACAAGAACAGGTGCTGTCCTCTGTGGGACAGACCCTATGACACCCCTCCCACGTGACATTTCCCTGGAATACTCAGGATTTCTGCAAAGTATGGGGAGAGGGGACATGGAAGAGATGTCCAAGAGACAAAAGCCCATTTTGTCCATTTAGAAAAAATGAAATTTGAAACTTTAAACAGTACCTGTTAAGTAGCTGGGTTTTCCAGGAAGTTCTGATTCACACACACTCATGGTCGATTTTGCCCTGTAAAGAACAGATCATAGGCAAATAACTGGTGGGAGGAATTCATGATGCCCAGCGTTTCTGGCTTGTTTGCCTGAGAGGCCAAGGTAGAAACTCTGGCTCGTACTTTTCAAGTCTTTATAGCTTGCAAAGTCTTCTTGGTTACAGATTTCCTGAAAATTCTCAAGCATGTCACTCTGTGGGCCAATAAAATGCAAAAGAATTTGCTTCAGAATGTAGATGTGCATATAAGGTAGTTTTTAGAGCCTGTGTTTTCCTGGTCAGCCCAAACAAGATGGTCAGCTCTTGTGTTCTAAGAAGTCTCCATGAAGGATGAACCACTAAGGAAGTGTACATGTGTTACACAGATACAATCTTGAATCATTCTAATGGCTTCTACTTTATTTTTGAGAACTAGAAAGAGTTTTGCCTGGTGTTGCCCTACTAGGAGTACCAGAGTTGGGTTTAATTCCTGTCTATTTGACTGACCTTTCCATGCATGGTGAGGGGCGGGGGGGTGGGGGGGGTAGAGTCTGCAGGGAGTCCAGAGGCCTCTGCTGGGGAGGTAAGGTAAAAATCCCATTTAAGCCATTGTGTGTGTCTGTGGATAGTCACAAAATTGTGGCTAATACTGATCTGGGTTTTTGTTTTGTTGGGATTTTTTCTTTCTCCCCTTTTGGTGTTAGGAATAGAATCCAGGTGCTGCACCACTGAGCTATGTCCTCAACCTTTGAATTGAGTTTGGAAAGAAATCTGGAAAAACATGCAACAAGTTCCCGGAGAAAGGAAGAGCAACAGCCTGTGACAACGCCAGCAAGGACCACTGTGAGCAACAGCACGCTTTCTACAATCACTTGTTGTGTGTTCCCTCCCCTGACCACTTCATCTTCCCTCCCATAGGAGCTGCTGCCTCCAGCTTGGCCCTGTGTTGCTGCACTCAATGTGAATGGCCGGCCAAGGGGTAGATACTGCAGATCAGCTTTAAACTTGGTTCAGAGCAGGTGATGTTTTCAATGCTGGGGTAAGGTGGGGCCTACATTCTCTGCCCTCCCTACTCTTATTCACCCCACCTGATGTGAAGCTGGTGCCTCCCAAGCCCAGGGAAGGCAGGGCAGGCATCCAGAGCAGAAAGAGCAGTCCGGGACCAGTGACCTACACTCTGCCTGCCTGGCACTTCCTACCTGGGCCCAGCTGGAGAAGGCTGCTTAGAACACTCCTCAGTTTGATGTTAGGGTGGGAAAACCACATAGGCTCACTGTGTCTCAGGTTAAAAACAGCCAAATCAGCTTTAAAAACAGAAAACTCCATGAGTAAAGGTGCAGGGCATTAAGGGCACTAAGCAGGACCCACCTGGCAGCTGCGGAGTCCTATACCCTGAGTTCTACAAGGGTGGGGTCCAACCTGGCAGGCATGAAGCTCTGGCATTGGCCTTGCCACCTATCCTTGAACCTTCTTCCCTTAGTGTTGTTTTTCCTTTCATATTGTGTATGTTATGTCTTTAAAAACATGAATTTGATTCTAGAATGTCTCTAGACATTCTTGATTCTAGGAGGTCTGCTTTTCTCAGTATTCTGACTCAGAGATCAGCTCCATCCACCATGCACACCACAAGGCAGTGAGGGCAGGCTCCAGTTGCAGACCAGGTAGAGGGCCTGAGCACGTGCAGGAATGCAGATAAGGAGGACAATGAGTGTGGAGCCACACAGGGAGACCTCCCATGATCCTGCTGTCTACATGGAGCTTAGGGAAGGTGAGGGCGAGTTGTGTCGCAGAAGTGGGTGGACTCCCACGCCCTAAGGGAACCACCAGCATCAAATGGGTACTCCTGCAGTGAGGGCATGCAGACATCAGGTGTACAACAGGCCTGGCATCTAGCACCCAAAGGGCAAGCAGCTTCCATGGAAAACAGAGGCAGGCAGGTCAAAGTAGCCTGTGCAGAGGGTGGGGATCCATGCAGGGCTGTCAGGGCTGTCCCAGGTTTGAATCTGACAAATGAGATTTAATGTTAAAAAGAGATGAGGGGTACAGGTGGAACCAAAAGCCAAACTAAAGCCCGGGACATACAGGTCTAATAGACCTGCAGCTTAAAGAATCAGGGCAAGTCTGCTGTCAGTGATGGTGTTACTAAAGTTAGAGTGCTCAGAATGAACAAGGAGACCACTGTATCCAGACTGCATTGCTGATCTGTTGTGAATATTCCTGAAAAGTCATCTGGATTGAGAAATATCTGGAAATCATGCTCAGAGCAACCATGCACCAGGGGAAGAAGGTAGGGTTTGTAGGATTTGTGTCAGTAGGGCAGAGTCTGCTAGTTGCTCCCCTGAATGACACGTCTGGACTGTGTGATGGCAAGTCTCCTGTCTTGGGGTCTGTGCAACTTAGACAAATTGTGTTTAGGCTGAAGCAGGTTCAAACCCAGCTTAGCTCGCTGAGTTACTGGCCTGCCAAGCCTTCTTCCTACTCAGTCTGTACACCCCTGTGAAGTGGAAAATCAGACAGGTGCTTGGGCAAGACATGAAGAACTCTCCAAGAGGAACTTCAGGCTGAGGGATCAAGACCAAGGCCAAGGCTGAGCCACTGACTGGTCACTGGACCTGGGTCAGGAGGGAGCCCATAAGGGACCAGACAGATGGAGTCTCCAGTTCCCAGCTTCTAACTGGGGACCTCAGGGCAGGGATGGATGTGAGGTGAGCGTGGGCCACCCATCACATGGAGCTTGAAGGTACTGTCCCAAGGGGCCCCAGATATACCGGGGTCAGGAAGGGGCTGCAGGCTGAGTGCCACCTCTTGCAATGGCCCAAAAAGGTGCAGCTGCCTCTCTGGAAACCAAGTGTGTGGGGGAGGTGGCTCAGGAGATGCCAGGCCAAAGGCTCCCTGGTACACTGGATGCAGTCAATTCTTACCGTGTGTCTGTCATGGCTGCCACGTCTGCCCTGTGCTTCACCCGCAGATATGCGCTCTTCATTTTCATCTCGGTGGTGGAGGGCAGCAGGACAGGCACCACAGTGCAGAACAGTGAGAGCTGTGGGGGCAGGACTGTTCCTGAAGGTGCTTTCTTCTTCTGTCCCAGCAGGAATCTTAGTTTTCCTTGAAACTGCATTGTCTAGATTTTAAAGACAGAAATCTGTGTTCACAGAGTGAACTGGAAACTCAGGGAAGACTCAGAATTTGGGGTGAGAACAGACATGCAGCATGGGCACTTGTCCAGAGTCCTCAGGAGACAACAGCCTTGCTCTCGCCCTAGTCTGTAAGCAGCCTCAGGATCACCCAGCCAGCTTCTACCTTTTACCTGGTGACCATCCACTCTCTCTTCCCTCTCTTCCTCCATCCCACCACCCTTCCAATTTTCCACTCATCTTCCCCTCCTTCCTTCCAGCCTGCCACTCATCTCCCAAGCTCTGCTTCCATGGGCTTATTGAGGGAACAAAACATTTGTAAGCCCTGACTAAGCATCAGCCACATAGCTTGTATGGGGGAACTCAAGGCAATGGTGAGCTAGGAATATTTAACATCCAGCTTTCCAGGGGAAAAACATCCCAGTTTTACAGTATTTGCCAGATTTTAACATAAATATTCATGCTGTGGCTGGTTTCAACCTGTTGGCCTAATATTAATCAAATCTAAATATCTAAAAATTCCTGTAGTCCCAACAGTGGGGTTTGTGGGTGGTACGAGGCACTGTCTAGGTATGAGTGGGGGTTTATACCCTGCTCCCTGGAAGATGGTGCCCTGAAGGATGTGCATGTCAGTTTTAAGTGTTTCATCTGCTTTACCTCCTTGGCTTGCAGGGGTCTCCTGTTCCCACTCACTTACCACCCTCATGGAGTCTGGGAGTTGCCAGGCCTTGTGCTGGTAGCTTGTGCAGGTGGAACTTAGATTCAGGGTCACCCTCACCCCAGGGCCCAAAGCACACAATGCTGGCTGCTTTGTAGCTGGGCCAATTCCCTATGTAGGACTCCCCTCACTTACCAAAAAGCCAGAGGTGCTGTCCAGCAGGCAGCGTACACGGCAGATGAAGCACCGAGTCAGGAAGGCCGAGTACTCAGGGGGTGAGCCCACGCCCCCTTCCTGGGCCCTGAGGAGCCTCCCCAAGACTGTGTTGTCTTCTACCAAGGCAGTGCAGGGGCGTGGCAGGGAGGCAGAGGCCATGACCAAGAAAGAGTCATAAAGACATCAATAAGCTAGTGAAACATGTTGCAGCCAATGCAAGGTACACAACACATACCGCCCCAGCTGCACAGCTCACATCAATGCACAGCCCCCCTGCCTCGCTGTTCTGGTGGGTTTTGCCTCCTTTGGCCCCCTCCCTTAAAGGCATGGAGTTTCAGTTTTGCTTGTTTGACCTTCATGAAATGATAAGGATGCAAGCACCTGTGGCCTGGATTTTGCATTCAACTCACTAAGGTGAATGAGGCCCTGGTGGAAACTTCTCTGAGTTATTTGGGGCCCATGGATCTGTATGGAAACACCGGGGAATGTTCTTTACTATGGGACCCCCTAGCTGATGCTGTATCCCTGGCATGGACTCATCTGTCCCCTCCAAGTTCACCTTCACTTGTTGCCTATTAGGAGTTTGATACCTGCTCAACTTGGGACAAACAAAAACTTGGAGGAGAAGCAGTTCCCTGGGAAGGTATGCACAATTTCATCATGTTGTCAAGACTCGTTGGTACATCTGGATTGGCAGGGGGGCCTCCTAGCAGATAAGAGAAATCTTAAACAGAGATCCAAGTGCTCTAGCTCTAACAAAGGGCCAGAACTGGGTCTCAAGTACATACTCATCCCCCAAGGTTGTTATGCTAAAGGCTTGATTTCCTCTCCATGACATGGTACTGCTGGGAGGTGGCAGAGATTTGAGAGGCAGGGCCTCATGCAAGGTGTCAGATTCCTGGGATCAGTCCTCGAAGAGGACTAGAGGATCTTGAGCCTTACCCCTTTGCTCCCTTCTGCACCTACTGGCCATGAGGTCAGTGGTTTTGCACCACCAGGTCCTTCTGTACCACCAGAGTCCTAGAAGCCATGCCTCCCGCAAAATCATGGGCTGAAACTGTTAAAACTGTGAGCCAAAATAACCCTTTCCTCTTCATAAGTAGATTATTTGGGGTATTTATAACAATGATAAAGGATTGACTGATACATGAGGGAGGTGCACAAAGCACCATAAGACAGACCAGCTGCAGGACCACATGGCCCATGAGGGAGGTCAGCTCCAGAGTAAGCAAACTCCAATGAGGAAGCCAATATGGATGGCAAAGGACAGCCAGGGTGTCCAGGGCTGCAAGGAATTTGAGATGCACTGACCCACCTGTCTCTGTATGTGGCGGCTGCCCACACCTCGCCTGTGGGGGGTCCATGGCCCAGTGGAGCTGCCGGCAGAAGTCCTGGCGGTCATCAACGTGGATGTAGTCATAAATATTCTGGTGCATTACATCTGTCTGTAATACCAAAACAATTGTTTTAGCCTCACCCTGAATTGCATACCCATTCTAGCAATTATACACTACAGCATTTCTACATCTGTCAAAAGCAAGTCATGCCTGTGGAGAGTCCTATGGGAAAAGCCTTGAGGCTATCACCATCCAGCAGGGACACACCTCCCAGGATCTCCCCAGCCCAAATGCATCCCAGTAGCTCCTGATGACTGGATGCTCAACCCGGGCTAAACTGGGAGCTCAAAAATGGGGTGTCTGGGCCCCTATGTGTTGGCCAAGGTGTCTGCCTTGCTAAATTACCTCCAGCTTATGGTATTTGTGTGTTCCCCATCATGTGCCTCATGTTCTTTGTGACTTGTTGCCTAGAACCAGGCTCAACCTGTCTGAGTTTTCGATGCCTTGGGGACCTGCCAGCTCATAGGCCTCTGTCTGATCTTCTGTCTTCAACCTCCTCAAGGCAAACTGGGCCTGAGGTGACAGTCATCTACACAGGCACAGGATCCATGTTGGCAGACTGGTCTGGTAGTTGAAGCCTAGACCATAGCTATGAAGGCTGACTTTGGGGGACTCAGTTCTCCTACTGTGGTAAAATGTTCTCAGAGGGTATGGGTAACGCAAGGCAGCCCACACAGGGCTTCTCTGCCCTCCACATTCTCTGATGGATGGGGCTCCTTCCCGCACTCAGAACCTGGCCAAATGCCTGCCAGGGACTACTGGAACCCTATGGGACTAGACTCCTTCAGAACATGCCCACCTGTGAGTTCAGACACTTCTGGACTGGATTCTTATGAGGGTTCAAATATTCTTTTTGGTTGGAGGAAAAGTCCCTTACCAATCATAACCTTCCCTTTTAGGAATGTAATAAGAATATTCACGCAGGTGGATGAGATCCACCATCTTTTCCAGAGTGCTTGCTATTCTTGGACAAGCCCCATGAGGTCCCCAAATGTTAAACAAGACTTTACACTTCAGGGAGGAGGCAAAGGCGAAGTGGACTTCACTGCCTGGCACCCTTAGACTAAGGGAATGTCTCTGTGATGGCTGTATGTTCCCCTAACTATAGGGTTATGCAGTCATAGGTGGGATTGTGGAGCTGGCTGACTCTAGGTTGTATGATCCAGAGATTAAGGTGCCCTGCCCTGGGTAATGGATGGCTTACCAGCCTTGGTGTGTCTGGTAGAATACAAGGCTGCTTCTGCTGTTTCTCTGCTGCTGCTTCTGCTGCTGCTTGCTACTTTCTGCTTTGCTGCCTTCTGTCTTCCATGGACTGTTTCTCCTCTGTGATGCCCCACTGCCATGATACCCCTAACTTAGATATAGCTGACTATGGACTGAAACCTCTACAAATTGTGAGCTGAATAAACCTTTTCTCCTTTAACCTTGGGTATTGGGTATTTTTTTCTCAGCAATGAGAAAAGTAACTAAGACAGTTCCCTTAACAAGAAGAGGGAGCCCAGAGGAGAGGCAGAGAAGGGCTGGGCAGCCGCTATCCTTGATCAGTACTGCCCTATCAGGGCTCTGGGGCACTGTGGAGCCAGGGGCAGAGGGCCATATGGCAGAAGTGGAAACATTTCTGTTCTTCTGGCTTCTTAATGAACTTCTAGGACTGAAGTAGGACATGGAAAATGTGCCCCAAATATTGTGTGTAGCTTGTGATCAGGATGGGATCAAGCAGGATACAAGATGTTGCACTGAACAGAACCCCCCCCCCCCGAAGGCTGGTATGCAGGACATTATGCCCTTTGGTGTCTGTCCCACCCAATGTCACATCCATGAGACTGGCTTATGTGAGGCAGCAGTGTCCTATTTCCACGAGGTGGTTTCTGCTGCAGTACTAATTCTCTGGCTGGTGTCTCCCAGGTGGCGTTCCACAGCTGCCATGTCTGGACACAACTGAGTGGCTGCTGCATCCAGGGTTCATCTACAGGTGCTGGCCCACCATGGCAGCATCCCCATTGCTCCTGTACCACACCAACACTTGGCATTTCAGCCTCTCAGTGGATGTACAGTGGCATCTCATTGTGGCTTTCATTTGTCTGTCAGGAAAACGTGGTCTGCTCATGTATTTATTGGGTTTTGGATGTGCACGTGTATGTGCATGTACATTGTATGCTTGCTGCTGGATTCTCATCCTCATGGATCCCACTGATGTGCTCTTGTATGCACTCTGTTGAGGATGTCTCCCACTGCCCAGCTGCCTGCTCACCTTCCTCAGGATCTGCACAGTTCCCCTCATGGTGCTCATTCTTGCTTAGGACATCTTTCCGCACAGGCATTAGAACTTACCCTGCCATCTTCTAGAGTCTTCTTTCATCTGCTCAATAATTTCTCTAGTATGGTTTAAAGTAGGAGACAAGATTCTTTTTTCTCATTTGGATTCAGTTTCTCCAGCCTCATTTGCTGAAATGAGCATACTTCCCCCTCTCCCAGCAATTGGCACGCAGTCCAGCCCAATGGCTTTGGATATCTGACTGCACGGTCCATCCGGCCTTGAGCCCACAGTCTCAGGAAGCTGTGGTGCTGGTAGCAAGGCCCAAACAGTCACCATTGGCCTCCCTTTCCTCCCTTTCATGGGTGGTCTTAGGTCTTCTCAGCCTCTGTACTTCCATAGAAATTTTGGAATCAATATGTCCATGCCCACCAGAAAGGTGCTCAGTTTTTATTATGATTTCATTAACTTTACAATTTGATTTGGAAAAAACTGGCATCTCTATAATTATATTAAGGCTCCCAATTTAAAAATACAGTATATCTCTTGGTGTGTCTGGATTGGGCTAAATTTCTGTAAAAATGTTTTTTGTGGAAGTGTAGGTATGTAGGTCATTTGATGGATTTGTTGCTTGGGGTTTGGGTTTTTTGTTTTTGTTTTTGTATCAGGGATCAAACTCATGACCTTGCACTTGCCAGGCAGGTGCTTATGCCGCTGAACTAAATCTCCAGCTAGGGTTTGGGGTTTTAACCCTGTTTTGGCAGCTTGTTTTCCCTCTGTGTTTTAATTTAGGTGACACAGGCGGAGCCCTAAGTGGCATGGCTGTGATGTTTGAGTGAGACAGGAGGCTAACATACTGCTGTCTCTGCAGTGCTTGTGGGTGACCCACAGCTCTGTAGAACCATTGCACGGCAATGATCTGAGGGCCCACAGGATCCTGGAGGGCATCTCCCTTGTCACCACACCCTCATTAGTTATGAAAGGGGTATGGAGGGATGGGCATGGTAGTAGGCAAAGCAAAATTGGAAAGCCCATTTCTTTTTTTTTTTTATCGGTACCGGAGATCGAACTCACGACTGCCTGCTTGCAAGGCAGGTGCTTATGCCGCTGAGCTAAATCCCCAGCCCCAGAAAACCCATTTCTAAGGCAAATTTAAAGACAGGGTGAAATTTGGAAGCCTGAGATTGAGGAAACCAAGTTCTGTGTTTCAATTCCCAGTGTGGCCTTTCTGACTGCCCCACCTTCTTCTTGATCTCTTGGTTCCACAAAAGGACACCAGGAATAAGCAGGACAAAAGGAATAAGCAGGTCAGAGGACTGGAGATGCAATGGAGGCACAGTGGTAGGGTGGCTCCTCAGATGGTAAAACACAAACTCCGCTTTCATCAAGTGAATTTACCATGAGTTGTGGATCTTAGAATGAAAGCATTCCTGGTCCAGCACTCATCATTTTTACCTCTAAATATGCACCTATCTGCCATTGGAGTCATACCTGATCAGATCACTAAGCTGGGGCAGTCTGACTGGTTCACCTGGGGACAGCTGCCAAGGTGACTGTGTACCAGCAGCTTCCTGAGTAAGTGTCAAGGTAGTTAAAACCCCCTGGTTGCCCCAGGTGTGCTGATGCAAAGTATGGACAGCATGCTTTCAGCTGCAAGGGTAAGGAACTGGCTCCTGGCTTTCTGCAAGATGTCAGGCAGGAGAAACTCACAAGAGCACAAAGTCGATGTATACTTTTGCATGAAATGTTTGCATAAACTTGAAGCAAGTCCTGATTGAATAGCATTTGAAGAAAAAAATTATTTATAATAAATGCAAAACTTTTTCATTTCTAATGCTTCAGGTGAAATCACAAAGCTCCAAGAAAATAAAAGATTCAGTGAGCTAGTTGATATACATTCAGAGCCACTACACATAGTACCTGCCTTTGTCCTCAGAGCCAAACTCCACAGTGCAGCCACCAGTCCTGGCTAAAGGAAACAGCTCTGCCTTCTCGAGGCTCCAGAATCACTGAGCAGACAGGGCTGGGAACTGAGTAACTTTAAGTGTGCAGAACACAGGCCCTACACATGGAGCCACAAAGTCTGCATTCAGTGCTGTCCATGCTAGAAGCCCGCTCATGTCACTGTGTCACATCATCAAGCTCTGCACTGTCATGGGCACTTGAACACCACAGCAAGGGAAGCATTGAGCCTCAGCAAACAGCTTTTCTTTCTGCTTTTCTCTGCTCTCCACAGTGTAAGCAAAGTCCAAGGATTCCCATGCAAGACTTCAGGATAGGTTTCGTCTCAGCAGACCAGCAGGGTCAAGCCATCAAGAGTGGCTAGTGGAATGCTGGAGCTCTCTCTGTGTGGCAGGAGCACCTTTGTCAGGCACAAAGAGCTCCTCCTTCCCAACCGGCCCCAGAGCAGTTAGGGAGGCAGACAACACACTGTACATTGTATGAACATAGGAATTGAGGCACCCTGTGGTACAGTGATTGCAGAGCTGACAATGCTCAGCCCGCCACCCCCTGTACTCCCAAAAGAGCAGCTTCTGGAGCCCTGGGAGTTGGGCTAATGGCCAGCATTCACATTGCCTGCACACGGCTGTCCCCTCCAACCCTGCACCCCACTACCATGGGCTGATCCAGGCCAGATGCTGAGCTGTGTCTAAAGGGCTGGATGAGAGGCTGCTGGGGAACAGGTGAGCATAAGCATACAATACCACACTAGCTCCCAAGACAGGATAGAAAATCTGCGTGTTAGGGTAAGGAGTCCTGGGGTCTGCACATGGGCTCAGGTGGCAGGATGTTAAACTTAGAGGCAGATACAAGAACACAGCTACTTCAGTTCTGGAAAACTATTCAAAATTGTAGTTTTCTTGGAAATTAGATAAAACACTCTGCTGGTCTCAGGCAGATTTTAACAACGTGTCAGAGACCCACACCCTCATATCTTGGCTTCCACTGCCTTTGGCATTGCAGCCCTTGGCTTTCTGCCCAAACACAACATTTTGGTTTTAATCACTCTCCTCATTGCCTTGCTGCCCCACATTTCCCTTCTGTGTGTCTATCCCAACTCCTGGAACATCTGCCTTCTGTCGGCAGCATCTAAAGCAATGAGACAGGGTCCTGCTCTTGCGGCCCAGCAGGCCAAGACCCCTCCAGGGTCTGCTGTGCCACGGATGAGGGGCACCCTCGGAGCTGCTTCCTGCATCTTCCTTGACCTCCACAGAGGGCAAGTCCTGGCCAGCCTTGAAGGCACCTCGGTGACCTACACCACTTAGGACCATGGCCTCACCTGCATCCGAAGGGTCTGGTGCTCAGATCTGAGGGTCTGCAGGATAGGCCCATTGAGTGCCTGATCTGTCCTTTGGAGCTCTCTTTACCCTTACTACTAAATCCGTGACCCTACTCACAAATTCTTTATATTAAGCTCTGGGATGACTGTACTCTGAATCAATCCTAACATCCTAGCTTATTTTCCAGAATACTATTTCTTCTTTTTTCATTATATGTTGTCCTTTCTTCATACCATCTTATAGTACATTTATTTCCTAGCATCTTTCAGACTGTGCTATTGTTTTAAGCTCTTCTGGGAAGGTACCAAACCTGTTATTATGTCTGCTGGCTTCTGCTTGCTATCCATGGCTTTCCATGTGTGATCTCTGGATTGCAAGATCAGCTTCAGAGAGGACATGTTGGTGATGATGACCCTGGTGCAGCCCAAGGCCTGGGTTTTGAGTTCTACCAGCCTGGGGAGCCTTCCCTTCCTCCTTTGTTGTGCACAAATGGATTCCACATTCCACCTTTCTATTTCCTATCAGAGACTTTTTTTTTCCTTCCAGTGGCCAAGCAGAAAAAAAAGTTCCCTTGTTTCTTTCTGAACTATGGATGAAAGTCTTCTTGTACCTTTTTAAGTGGGGTCATCCTTCCAAGCTCCTGTGTTTGGGTCTCAATGCCAGCTCTTGGCCCCAACGCCCAGAACTACCCAACCTGGGTTGGCCTGGTGGCATCCCACATGAATTATCTGCAAATCAGTGAGGGTACTTCTGGAACAAACTTGTCCTGAATGTGCCAAGTGTCTGCAGTTGGAGACTGCTATGATGGCTCCCTGACAAGGAAGCCAAGGACAGGGCCAGCCTGCTGGGAGTGGCCAATACCACTGTGCCTCCTGCAAACACCAGAATATGGGCTATGCTAGCCAGAGCAAGCGTGGTGACTTGGAAAGCTTCATTTTTGATATTTCTTAAACCTTCAAATAAACAAACATTTGCAAAGGTAACAGGTCCAGCATTCAACAGAAAAAAGTTCAATTTTGTTTACCTGGTGGAATCCCAGATAGTCCACAATTGTTGCTGATGCATAAAATATCATCCCTTCTGCACTCACAACCAGAGCGAAGCCATTGAGAGACTAGAAGAAACAAGAAAATTGAGCTGTCTTGACCATAAAGGAAAAGGAGACACCGGAATTCTGTGTAAAGTTTTTAGCATTCCCATTTCACTGTCCACATTCATGCAATGCACCCTCTTGACCTTTTATTAGCTTCCACCAACAGGCAGCAAGAAGTTGGTCAGGTTGTTAGGCTAAAACTTGGCTCTTCTTTCTTTACATGCATGCTTTATGACATAAAACATCCTCAAAATGACATACTGAAGTACCAAACGCAAAGGAAGACGGGAACTCCCATTTCACATCTTCCCACCCACATCCTCCTGCACACTACCCTGGAACACTTTTTGAATTTTCTAGAAATTTTTATTGAAAAAAATATTGAACTTTGTCACATGCTTTTTCTATATCTGTTGAAACAATTGCCTAGTCTTTCCTTGGTCTCTAATGAGTAGGTTTTCCGCTGATGAACCCTTCTTGCATTCTGGGGCAGACCCGAAGTGATTGTGATTTTTATGTTCTTCAGTGGGCCAGTCCTCACTAGGAGTCCTCATTTCTGAGCTAGCATTGACTATGCTTTCCTAATTTTGTTGTCAAGTAACAGTCCTTTGAAGCTGGATCCTCCCTCTTCTCTCATCTTTGTGGCCTGCTTACTTAGTATGAGGATGATATGTACCTTTGAATTCGAGTTCATTTCGCCTTGAAAATATCTGGTTTGGGCACAATTGGGAAAAACGGTAGATGGAAAAGGGAGTAGGTTTTAATGTTAATCAATTTATTTAATGATGATTGTATATTCAAGTTTTTAAAATTTTTTCTTACATCAACTATTTTCTAGAAATGCATTCATTCTACCTTAATTTAAAATTTATTAGAGTATGTTCACAATATTTATGATTATTAAATCTCAGTCATATCCATAATTCTTGGAGGATTGTTCCAGGAAGGTAGCTACATCATGCTTGACTTACAGCCAGCCTCCCTTTATTTGAAAATCAAACTCTCCTCATCCTGTGGTGTCCTCCTAGAACCAACATCAGTGAAGATGCATGAGATTCAAGGCCACCTACCCACAAGATCTGCACTCCACCTGCCCATCATCTCTCTTTCCTATCATTCATCTGTTGCCCATCCCTACTTATCTCCTGTCTACCTCCCAATTCACCCCCATGTGCCTCTCACATCATTGCCTTTGTGATGAGAAGAGTACCTCACTGAATCTGAAATCATCTGGTGTGGAGGGCCATTCTGTATCATCTTTAGGGTGGGAATCATTTCATAATTAAATTGTGATTAGCGCTTGTCTGAGGCCTAGTATCTTGCTGTGCAGGCTGGCTATGGATGCAGAAACATAACTCTGTGTGCCTCTGATCACAGTTGAGGCCTCAACAATTTCGTGATGCTGTGATGCTCCCAAGCAAGATTACATCACCTGAAGACGTTCTTGTTCCTTGAGAACAGAGTAGTAATAAAAAGAGGTTTCAGCTGGGGAAAAGGACAAAATTCTTACTATCCATCAACATAAAATCCTCTTTAGTTTAAGATCACCTCACTGCCCACCCTCTGGATCACTGGAAGATCCCTCTCAGCATAAGACTACCATTGCCTTCTGAGTTATCTGATAATTTCCTCCCCGTTTTTCTCAATGTAAATATGATCAATAAATACCAAGGTTCTGCCTTGCGGCCCTTGTGTTCCCTATGAAGAACTGGCCACCCTAGATCCCCATTGTGCTGCTATTTGTCTCTTGATTTTTCTTTTCACTGTGTGCCTAACAATCATCAGGAAACTGGGGATTTCACTGGGCTATACAGAACTGTGGAAAATAGCGTCGGTCACACAGGAGCATTCACATTTCAGTTTGTACCCTTGAAGCAGGGGCGTTCAGATACTATGACTTTCATGAGCATGTGCAATTGGTGGCCAACCACAACAGTCACTTCTGTAACTCCTAACATGCTAGATACTTCCCCCTACCTTTGTAAAAATCTTTACCAGTTTGTTTCATTTTATAAGTATATGTTTGTAATATGCAATAAATTCATTCAGCTTGGGGAACTGGTATATATGTGTATTGCAGTGTGATCATTTTTATTGCCCTACTCCACCCTCTCATCTCCCTCCTGCCACAATTTACCAATTTGTTCAGTGATAAATTATTTTACCATTATAGTTTTCATTTCTTTGATTACCAATGACATTGAAAAAGATTTCATGTATTCATTGTAACTTCTCCTTTGGTTACCTGTTTATAGATGTCATGTGCTAATTTCACCACTGAGCTTTATACATATTAATTTCTAAGCGTTTAAAGACCTACAGGCAGCCCGTGGTCAGGACTCCACAAAAACCCATCCCCCTTGTTCACTCTAAAAAATGGTGACCAGTAAGAGCAAGTGAAACAGCACAAACTGAAGCCCTCATCACTGCAGGAATACAGAGAGCGCTCCAATCTTGGAATCTCATGTGAACATGGTGTCAGCACAGATCCCAATAAGCACAGAAAGACTGCACAGAAGGAAAGTGAATGGTTCTCAAGGAATTAAAGAACACAGAGCTAACTAAATCTAGTGTTAGTAAAAGAACAATTAAAGTGAAAAAAGTCAATGAAAATGCATGGGTTAGAACGTGTGATGGTTGACTGATTGTGTCAACTTGAGTAGGAGCAGTTTAACTAATTAGCTCAGCAGTTCCATACTCTAGAATGTAGAAGTCCCACCCTACAGTGGCTTCTTGCCTGGATGGTATAAAGGGGAAATAAGGAACTATGGATCAGCTTCTGTTTCCTTGGAGGAGTTCCACTCTTCAATTTCACCTCTGATGTATAAATGATCTGAAGAGACATTGTTTTAAGGAAGATATACAAATGGTCCACATAAAGAAATGCTCAATATCACTGATCATCAGGGAAATGCAAATTAGAACCATTATGAGGTATCAACTCATGCCAGGAGGAATGGCTATCATCCAAAAGACTAAAGACAGTCAGGCATGGTGGCACATGCCTGTAATCCCGGCAATTCAGCGGCTGAGGCATGAGGGTCATGAGTGGGCTCACAATGAGACCATGTTTCAAAAGAAAAAAGCCAAACCAAACAAAAAACTACCGATAAGTGCTGGTAAGGATGTGCTCGGACACTGCTGGTAGGAAATTATCCACAGGCGTTATGGAAGTTTCCTCAAAAAATTAAACATACATCTACCATCTGATCCAGCAACTTCACTCCTGCAATGAGTCAGTGTGTTGAAGAAACTCCTGCACCCCCAGGCAGCACCATTCACGACAGACAGACAAAATGAAACAACTGAAAGAACCAACAACAGAATGAACAGATAAGAAAGGCATGGCTCATAGACACAATGAAATACTATTTGGCCATAAAAAGAATGAAACCCTGTCACCCGCAGCAGCATGGGCAGAACTATAGGACGCTTTTGAGTAAGCACTGAGCATCAAATACCTCATGTTCTAACCCATGTGGTGGCAAAAAAAATTTAACTTTCCATAAGTAGGGAGTACAAGCAAGGTCACTAAAGGTGAAAAAGAGAAGATGCGGTATAATGGGTACCAAAGTAGGGTTAGATAGAAGCAGTAAGTTCTAGTGTTCCATAGCAAGTAAGAAGACTCTAATGTGTAGTCCTGCCCTGTCAAACTGCAGAAGGGAAGAGCATGGAAGCTTTAAGCACAGGGGAGGGATAAACATTTAAAGAGATGCAAAGGTTGGTTACTGTGACTTAATCATCACATTATACACTGTATACAGTGTGTATACAGACAATAACACAGACTCTATAGATATACACAGACTATCATGTTGCACCTTATAAATATGCACAATTACACATTGTATACAATGTGTACAAAGACTATCAAACTGCTCTCTATAAATATGCACAATAGCTAGGTGTCAATAAAAATCTCCACTTTTAGTATTTATCCAAGTGAAATGGGTGTGCTCACAAAAGTATATGAACAAGGTTATTTACAGCAGCTATACTCATGTTTATCAATGATAGAATGGATAAACAGACTGCAGAATATGGGCTAGGAATATAGCTCAGCTGCATAAGCACCTGCCTGGAAAGCATGAGGTAGTGAGTTCAATCCCTGGTTAAAAAAAAACAGATTGCAGAATAATAATACACAATAAAAAACAAATTTTAAAAGAATTATGTATTGTGCAAAATATGGATAAGTTGCATGTGGTGATGTACACCTATCTAGCATTCAGGAGGCTGAGGCAGGAAGACTGCAGTGAGTTTGAGGCCAACTTGGCTACATAGTGAGTTCAAGCAAAGTCTGAACCTTAAAACAAAGCAGTAAGACCTTAAAACAAACAAACAAACATAAGTATTTTAAAATATTGATGTATCTCAGAAACATTGTTAAGGAAAGATAACCAGACAGAGATATATATACTCTCAGGCTATCTGTAGTCTAAAAACAGTCCCAACATCTATGGTGATGAATATTAGGAAATACCTATGGGCTGCAGAAAGGAAGCGGTGGAATAAAAGTAGGAGTAATGCCACTGAGACAAATTTGAGGCCTGAATAAAGTATACATTTTTCTAAAAAAATATAATTGATCAAAATTCACCCCAGTAGAGATAGAAAACTTAAAAAATCTACTTCTGTAGAAGAAACAGAGAAAGCTATAAAGCACCCACTCCCCCAAAGGCACCAGGTCCAGATGATTTTAAAATAGAAGTCTGCCAAATCTTCAAAGATCAGGTTACATTAACGCCCCACAAATTGTTCTAAAGCACAGAAAGTGAAGGAAGATTTCCAACCTTTTTTCAGAAGTATAATGGTGACATTTTCATGTGGAAAGTACAACAAAAAGAAAGTTACATATCAGCATCACCTTTCACAACTGATGTAAAAGTCTTAAACCAAATCTTAGCAGACTCCAATTTCACATTAAGAGAACAATTCACCAGTGACCAAATGCCTTCATTCCAAGAACCCGAGGCAGGCTCAATGCCGGAAGCTCCTTTAACATGTCATACTACAGGTCA